ACATGTGTGGTAAAGGAAAAGAATAGGGTGCACTGAAGGAGAATGCAGCGGTCGGTGATAGGAAAACAGGCAGGAATCGGTAAGTGGCTGGCTGCCTTGCCACCAGGCTGCCCACACCCTCCATTTCCAGACATGCCCTCCCCTCCCCCACGCCACAGCTCTGCCCTCCAGGCCTGTCTCCCTGCACTGACTCAGCACCCGCCAGCATCCAGCCCCAATGGCCCTCCCTGGCTCTACCTCCATCCCCCCCCTGCTGAGTCACAGTCTTGGGCTAGCCAGGGAACAGCTCCATGGGGCCCCTGGGTCATCCCACCTTTGGGTTATCCTCACGCTGGTAGGGTGTGACGTGACAGGGAGGCCAGCAGCGCTAAGCGCCTCGAGCTTGCATAGGCTATCTTGATCTGGAGAAAATAATCCAGACCAGACAGGGGCTAGTGCTGGGGTTAACTGGGGGGGCTGGGGACAGGGGTATCAGTTAGGGCTTAGTCTGTCTGCAGGATTATAACTCAGTCAAGTCAGGGGTCAGGATGGGTCTGGGAGGTGCCCAATCAGTGACCAAGTCAGGGTTCAGTTTGGGGCCAGGGCTGGGATTTCACCATCGAGGCGGGCAGTGCTAAGTCAGCCTTCAGTCAGGGATTAGGCCTCAGTCTAAGTACCTATGGCAGAGCCACAGACCAGGGCTCAGTCAGGGGCCTGGGCGCTTGGTTCCTCTCCCTCCAAGGAAGCACTGCCGGGTTGGGGAGCCCTGGGCTCCTGGAGGGCACCTTCCAGACTAAAGTTTCACCACCTGCCCCAAACGCTACCTACCATCCTCTCCATGCCCCAGATCACTTCCTGAGGGCCAGGCCTGACTCAGTGTCCCCCATGAGGCCTAATACTCTGGCACCCCAGGAAGCCAGGAGTGGGGTAAGGTGTAGGGTCAGGACTGTGCCTGACCCAGGAGGACCTTGCGCAAGGCTTTCTGATGCAACTGCTGCTGGCTGAACACCTTGGCACCCCCCACCCCCACTTCACCGCTTTTCTCAGAAAGGGAAGGGCTGTGCAGAGGCCTGGATTAGACACCGAGCACTTTCCTTCCCTCACCCTGATGGCTTCAGGTCTAGCAGGAGGCAGGCAGGAAGGAAGGCATGGAGGCAGGGGCTAGATAACTCCGTAACTCCACTACAAGGAGGGGATGGCTCTGGGAGGCGAGAGAGAGAATCAAAATCCCTGGAAGTGCACAGAGCCCTCCCCCACACCCCCTCCAACATAAACACAAAGCAGTAATTATGTGGCTGAGCCTGGAGAGAGGTGGTGGCTGCCCAAGGTCATCTGACTGTCAGAGGCAAAGTCAGATCCAAACCAGCTTTTTTCCTGCAGGTCTTCAGAGGCAGCTGCTTTAGTTCTGGCCACAGAGAAGCCCCCTTACCCTGGGGAGGGCCTGGGACCTCCTGGAAATTTTATTCAATCTCCTTGAGTCTCCTGAATGCTGGAACTGCATGGGCTTTGAGCCACACAGACCTGGGTTCAACGCCACCCCCAACTTGCTGTGTGACCTCAGGCAGATTACTTCCCCTCTCTGATACCTGTTTTTCTCACTGGTCAAAATGAGCATCAATTCATCCTTTGCTCACAGGGTTGTGGTCAGGAATTCACTAGAAAGCAGCCAGGCCTGCCACATGAGTGATACCCAGGAAATTGTCCGTCTCAACCTTCACCCTCAGGTCTCAAGGGTTAAGTGTGTAGGGAGACAAGGAAGCACGGGAGATGTTGGGGGAAACTGGCCCCCCTGGAAATAACCTCTAGCCACCTGTCAGGTGCTTCTGTGTGCTCACTGAGTCCTCCCCTGAATCAAACAATAGCCCCCGGTAGCAATAAGCAGTTCAATAACCCTACTGGGAGGGTATTTTTATTCATTCCAAACTATAGCTGAAGCTCCGGGCCTCAGAGTAGCTGTGTGACTGGTCCAGTATTCTGTAACTAGGACAGGCCAAGCAGGTGGCAGAGACCAATGGGCAAAGACCACTTGGGCTTTGAGTCCAACCCACAGCCCCCCTCAATCCACAGACCAGTGATGTCACCTCGTTGAGTGCTGGTTTCCTCACCTGTCCCCAGAGATGAAAAGGCAAGCTGGTGTGGAGGGCTGAGGAGGCAGTGGGCTGATGTAAGGGAAGTGTCCACACAGGGCCATGCTCCACCCACAGCCAAGAGTTGCATTCTTCTGAGCTGGAAGCCCAGGCCCACAGGGCAGACCCAGACGGCTCGAGGCCATGCACCGGCTGGAGATGATGAAGGATTTCTGCAAAGCCCTTGGGGTGCCCTGGAGAAAAGGGAGGTGCCAGGTCTCCTAATAAGGGCTCCCCAAGAGGAGCCTAAGCCTAGAGCTGCAACTCTTGAATCACTCAGTCTTTCCCAAATCTATTGGCTCTAATCTATTTACCTACCTGTATTATAAGTGCTATATATTTTTTTCTTCAGCTCATTTTAAAAAAAAGACTTATTTTATGTATGCACACAAGAGCTGGAGTGTAGGCCAGAGGTGTAGGGGGCGGGGTAGGGTTAGAGGATTTACCAAAGATGGAGTCGGGAGCAGAGGACCTATAGAAATACACTGCTGAGGGGAGCAGCAGGCGGATCAGGAGAGGTCTGCTGTGCCATGTGGGTCAGCTCCCTGCCTGGGGATTGAACTCGTGCTGCAGTGGTGTGATAGCTTCATAGTGCTGAGACCTTCATAGTGCTGAGACACATGGGCCACCAGGCAGGGTCTTTCTGCTTATTTTTAAAACTTAGGCAAATTTATTTTGAGTGGAATATTGAAATCACTGATCACAAACGGAAAACCATCATCATTTGCCAGAAATAGGAAGCAACTGTAACTTGAATACAAGGGAAATAAAACATGACTCTTAATTCGAGCTACATCCTGTTTCTGGCTGGAGGCTTTCAACTGAGCCCTGTTCTCTCTTCCGTCACAAGTGACGTGTTCAAGACATGAAAGCTGTTAAGACTTTCTCTGAGTAAATGGAGGAAAAGGAAGAAAATTAAAAGGAAATGAAGGGTAATTATGCAATTCAGTACTACTTCATAGTGTCCTGAGACCATCCAGCTTCCTACCGTTATATTATTTTGGAAAACAACAACCTAATCTAACTCTTATTTTTCAGATCAGAAAATGAATGCCCCAAGAGGAGAGTTGGTAATCCTGTGATCTCACAGGGTCTGTGGCTTTAGCCAGACTTGGAATTCAACCAGAACTCTGTCCAAGGCACCTTTTCACTTTTGTGGGGAGAAGTTATAAAGAGGGGTCTCCTTGGTGGCCTAGGAGTTAAGCCTCAGCTCTGTCACCAGTTCAATCCCTGTCCAAGGAGCTGACTCACATGGCGCAGCAGACCCTGCAGTGTATTTCAGTGGATCTGCCTGTTCTGCTCCCCACTCTGTCTCTGGCGAATCCTCTCACTTCCAGTACCTCTAACCTGTGCCCCAGTTCTGTATGCATAAATAAATAAATCTTTAAAAATTATCTTAGTTATTAATTTTATTTTCTTGGTGACAGTTTGTCTCCCTATCAATTTCTAAGATACACGAAGACAGGGCCAGGTCAGTCTGGCTGCAGCTCAGTCCCCAGCATTTAGAACAGGGGTTGATGGCACCAGACAGAAATGGGTAAGCAAAGTGAGCACAGAAGCTCCGAGGACAGCCACCCTGCCTTTCTTTGCCCCTGACAGCTGCAGGACCTTCCCACATGAGTCTGGGTATCCTGCTGGGGAAAATAAGTTCATTCATCCTTCCCAGGCAGGGGAGTCTCCAGGGTTAAATGAGATCCCAGAACTCCCTGGAAGGCTCTGAGACACTGGTGAGCTGGTCCCCTGGGTTCAGGAACCAGAAAACAAAGGTGACTCCAACTGCCTCCTGCTCCACCTCTCCCCGGAGGAGTTATTTCTGGACACTGGTAAATTCAGCCATCAAGACCTAATAGGGATTCTAAGAAAGGTGCTGGACCTCTGGGGCTGTGCGGGGACTGGAGAGCAAGCAGCAGCTTCCTGTTCAGGCGCCGCCCCTCTCTGCGCTCTGTGGACTCCACTCTGGTTACTGAGCGCCCACATGTGCTGTATAAGCATCTCACCCGTGTTAACTTACCAAAGCCAAGGAGCCTATGAAGTATCTACCAGAAGCCCATTGTATGGGGGAGGAAGCTGAAGAGAGTTTTGCTTTCCTAAACTGGGGTGCACTCTTAGGGGAGACTGGTTCTAGGGTGCTCGCCCTTAATCATGGGGCTGCACTGCTCTTTCAAATGATTGTTGTGAAGCCCACCCCAACTCCAGGGCATCTCACTGGTTCTTTTGATCCCAGAGTCAGCTCCTAAGTAAGGCTGTGTTTTTGCGAAGCTCGTGGACCGCTTTCCCACAGCTGGACCTCAGGCTGCCCCTTAATAGAAAGGGGAGAATGAGCTTTCTGCCCGCTAACATAGCACCGTGGGGAAGTGCTTTATAAACCAGGAAAAAGGGCCCTCCTTGGTGGCACAAAGGCAGCACGATGAAGCGAGCCGCAACTGCTTCACCAGTTCGATCCCCAGCCCCAGAGCTGACCCACATGGCGCGGCAGATGTCTCCGACCCGCGTGCTGCTCCCCTCAGCAGAGTACTTCACTATATCCGCCTGTTGTGCTCCCACACTCTGTCTCTGGTGAATCCTCTCACAGCCCCTGCACCTCTGGCCTGTACCCCAGTTCTGTATGCACAAATAAATAAATCTTTAAAGAAATATAAAAATAAACCAGGAAAAGGCCATGGTGTGTTCGCCCCCAGGCCATCCTGCGCGAGAAAGGACTTTCCCATTTCACAGACAGGGAAACTGTGGCTCAGTAACGCAAAACACTTTCCCCAAGACTCCCGCGAGCCAGGCTGGGGCGTGGGGGCGGGGCGAGTGGGCGGGGCGTGCCGGGACGTTGACCCTAGGGGCGGAGCTCTGGGGATGGTGCAATTCCCAGCCCCAGGGCACCAGGCGGCTGCCGATTAGCTCAGGTTTACATCACCCGCGCCGAGCCCCAGCCTCGCGCCAGGCGCCCACGAGACACTCGCAGCTGAAGCTGCGACCGTTCGCCACGCGTCCGGCTACTGGGGACGGCGACCACCCGGAGTCCACCCGGATCCCCAGCTCAGTCGCGGCGCAGCGGGGTCCAGTCCTCCTGGGCCGCCCAGGCGACTTTGAGCTCGGGTGGCAGCAGGACCCCAGGGCTCGCGAGGGCAAGGTACCTGGCCGGGAGCGGGAGAGCGGTCGCGTGGCCGGCGGGCTGGAGGGGCGGCAGGACTGCGTCTGCGGGTAGCCGGTGCACACACACTCTTTAATGAACCCGCCGTCTGGAGGGCTACCTGGGCCCAGTGTTCCCGCCGATCGCAGGTGGCACGGCTTCGCCGGGTGTGGAGTCGCCCGAAGGTGGCTCAGTGGGACGAGGGCGCGTCCCCTCGGGACGTGGCAGCTGTGCTCCGGCGGCGGAGGGAGCGAGCGGGCACGGAGTGTCCAGGGGTCGCCCGGACAGTGGTGTGCGTCCGGCGTGTGACTTGGTGCGGAGGTCTGTATGTGAAGCGCCTGGGAGGAGCTGGGGCACTGTCGTGGGGTCTGTGTGACTGTGCGGGTTGGCGAGGGTCTGTGGGGCCCCACAGGCAGCTGTCTGGGAGTTCTGTGTCTCCGTGGACGGTGTGAGCTACGGGGAGCGCTGGGTCGTGGTGAGCGCTGGGTCGTGGTGAGGCTGCTGGCTGCCTGGACCGGCCAGGTCCAGCTGGGGGGGGGGCTTCGGGTGGGGGCGGCGGGTGGGGTGGGGGTGCAGTGTGAGCGGAAGCGAGGATACAGCGCGGGGTTCGCAGCGTGCTCCGTGCGCGTGTGTATTTAGCTCTTGGAAACAGTGTCCTGCCTGCAAACTGCGCCTTCTGGGGGTCGAGGGCTACATCCGCTGGTTCTCTCGGCCCTGGGGCTCAGCCTCCTCCAACCCCTTTGCCTCACTCCCGCCCACTCCTCTCCCCACTCCAAAGCTCAAACCTCTCATGGGGACGACCCTCACCCTCATGCTTGCCTTGGCCACAGAGGTGCTTGGCAGCAAGGCCACACCCCCTGCTCGAGGCCAGGGTCCCGCTGAGCCTGTGGCCACCTTGGTATGAGCCAAGTGCTTCTAAGTGTGATGACTTGAGGGCCGTGGAGGGCCAGTGTATCCCACCTAAAGATGTGTGCGCCCCCCTCTGCCAGGGCTGGCTTAGACAAGGTGTGTATTTGAGGGCGTGTGCCCACTTGTCTGCCCAGGGTTGTGTGTTTCGTCCCCCCTCCCCCGCCCTGGAAGTGCCCCCCCCCTCAGGGCACAGGGAGAGGTGGAAGCACAGGGCAGCCTCCAGCCCTCACAGTCTTCTCTCCTGCAGACTCAAGTTGCCCCACTGTGTGGGAGTTTACCCCAGGCCCTGCCAAACTCTGAGACCTGCCACTCCCAGGGTCTGGTGCTTCCCAGGGTACAACAGGGTACCATGGAGTTTGACCCTTAGAGCACCCTGTGAGGTAAGGAGTGTCATCCTGGTCTCTACAGCGAGATTTCTAAGACTCCCCAGGGGGCACTTAAGCACCTTCAGCTAAGAATAACAACAGTACTGTAATGGAACAACAGGAGTGACTGTTAGCTGACACTACCTTACAAAGGGGCCATCCTGATTTATTTGTTGTCATTTTATGATCACAAAAATCTTGGGCCTCCCTGGTGGCCCTGGGGTTAAAGTCTCAGCGCTATCAAGCTATAGCCTGCCACTGCACGGCAGGTAGAGTTCGATCCCCGGCCAGGGACCTGACCCACTAGGTGCAGCAGACCTCTCCTGTCTGGCCCACTGCTCCCCTCAGCAGTGTATTTCAGTACATCTGCCTGTTTTACTCCCCACTCTGTCTCTGATGAATCTGCTCACACCCCTCACCCCACATCTCTGGCCTGTACCCCAGTTCTTCTATGCATAAATAAATAAACAAAGTATATATATATGTGTGTGTGTGATATGTGTGTATACATACATACGTATGTATATATACATATATACTTACATACGTATGTATATATACATATATATACATATATGTGTATATATATAAATTTGTAGGCTTCATATCTTGTTCCCACTTTAGAGAGGAGAGAACTGAGGCTCAGGAAGGTTAGAGAAGCAGCCCAGGGCTACCCCCCAGGAAGGGTCTGAGTAAGTCTGGACTGTTTATAGCCACTCTAATGAATTCTTACCAGGGGGGCTAATGGCCTTCTCTTGTGGGGGCTCCCTACCTCCCAAGGCAGCTCCAGCATTGGGGAGAAGCAGGATTGAGACTGGAGGCGAGTTTGTCACTAACCTGCCTTGATTGTTGGGGAGGCCTTTAGCTGGGCTTGTCCCCTCCTCTAACACCTCACACCTGGGCTCTCATCTGGAAACTGAGTAGCAGATGGAGAGAACCTTTGTCCTGACTTGCCAGGGTCCTCTCCTTCACCCGCCAGGCGCCCAGTGACACAGCTGCTCCAGTGTGGCTTCTTCCACAGCAGAATGAATGGAGCCTGGGCCTTGGAGGGACCCTCGTGCCCTGCCACTTCTTAGCTGATGGTGAAACTGATCTGCCTGGTGGACTCACTCTGCATGTGGACCTTCGGGTCCTCTAGCTCTCGGCCATCAGGCAATAGTAGATAAAGCTTGCATTTGAAAAAAAAAAAAAAATACTCTAGGAGGGCCTCCCTGGTGGCGCAAGTGGTTAAAGCACAGCCCTATGAAGCTCGCCGCTGGCCTGTACCCCAGTTCTTGTATGTATAATAAATCAATCCTAAAAAAATACTCTCCATCTATTTTGAAATACTCAAGCAATAAATGAACATAGAATCCTTATTTTAAGATGTTGAAATTGAAAATTTCCTTGCCTCCCTCCTAAATTTCTTCTCCACGAGGTCCTCCAGGAAGCCTGGAGCTACTGTGGCCAGTTCAGTCCTGGTCCTTCCAGAACTTTTCCTGTGCATTTACACATCTGTCAGTACATATATTGAAATATGAAGAGACGCTGCTTTAGATGTTGGTGATTTTTTTTTCCTTGAGGGGTGTATTGTTCAACTGCTTGCTTTATTCCAGTGTGCGTTCAGGGTTACTTTCAGTACAGGCCTCATTAATTTGTCACCCATCCCCCTTCCTCCTGCTTCTCCTCCTTCCTGCCTTCCCTCCTCCCTTTCAAAGGTAATGGGGGCTCACACCTTACAACATTCAACAAATAAGCAGAGTGTCTCTTCTTCCCTCTTATCCACAAAGTCCCACTTCTTCACTTAACAGTTCACTCTGGAGATCTTTCCAACCATAAAGAATTTCCTCCATATTTTAGATGACTACAAATTGTACCATGATGGATAAAATTCAGTGTATTTAACCAGTGCCCTAATGGTGGGCATTCAGTTGTTTCTGTCACATGGGCTGTAGGAATAACCTGTACCATCGTCTCTCTTTCCTTCCAGCAGAACACACGTGTGTGTGTTTGGTGATTGATTCCTAGAGATGACAGTAATTGTTGAATAAAAGCACATTTCTGGTTTCATTTTGATATTGTTAAAACCCACTAGAAGTGAAACTTAACAGTTTTCTTCGGAGTCTCCAAGTAATGACTGCTTCCTCAGCTCAGGAGATGAAACCCTGTGCCTCTCACTGGGGAGCAGAAGACTCGACTTCCCCTTGGCTCTGGCCTCTCCCTCACCCCCCAGATCCAAGCCCCCCACTGAGACCTCCATGTCCCCCCTTTCAACCCCGCTCTCACGATTGAGCCCTTGACTTGTGTCTCTGTTCCCACAAGCACCTCCTAGTTGCCATCTCTTCTCGCCTGGGTTTGAGCTGCTGGTCTCCCTGACCCTGTCTTGCCCTCCCTAAACATGCACCATTCCCCTGCTAGGCAGTGGCTCCCAGCGCCTTCTGGACAAAGTTCAAACATCATCAGCCCTAATTAGGATTAGACTCAACTGTAATAAAGAAACAACCAACCCAACTGCAGCTAAAATGAAATAGAAACTTATTTCAGAAACCTGGGCGCAGGCAGCGCAGGGCGGGACTGGGCTCAGGAACGCCGCTTCTCAGCGGTTGCTCGGCTGTGTGTGGTATTTCTAGGACCAGGATGGATGCTGCAGCCTCAGCAATCAGGTTCACATTGCAGCCTACAGGGAGGAGGGAGCGATGTGCATTGGCCCTCGGTTTACGGACATTAAGCCGGGAGGTGCACACAGTGCTGCACTCACAACCTGCTGGCCACACGCTGTATTTAGCTGCGAGTGCGATAGGGAAATGCGGCCTTTATTCTGGGTGAGGAGGACCCGTCTCAGGGGGGCGAGAGGGACAGCCAGGATGACCACTAGCCATCTCTGCCACATGATGCTTGAAGAGCACTTCACAGAGGTGCCTTCCCTAATCTTGCAACCTTAATATTTGACACTTTTATGGTTTTCTGCAATCTCCCTGATTTCCTAACTGCAGTTATGCTCTTTTGTCTCATCCCTCCTCCTAGAACAGCAGTTTCTAGACTAACAGTATCAACCTAACCTGGGAATTTGTTAGAAACGCAGATTCTCAGGACCCACCCCAAATTCTTAAGAGCGGGGACTAACAATGTGTGTTTTGCTAAAGCCTCCAAGTGACTGCAGAGTCTGATCAAGTTTGCGAACCATGGAAAGAGACTATCTTTCCCTATCACCTTTCTCCTCCAGGTCTCAGTTTACCTATCACCTCTTCCAGAAAGCCCTCTCTTGACCTGCTATCTTGGGATAGAGGCCTCTTTGGGTTCCCACAGCTCCATGCTTCTCCTAATTATAGGGCTGATCACACTAGATATGATTAGGGTTACCTGCCAGCACCCCAAGTAGACAGAAGACTAGAGAATGTTTTCTGGCTCACCCCTGTCCCTAGGACCCTGCCCAAGGAGTGTTAAGTGAATAAATTGGATCATATCTCTCCTATATGTGAATGTGCCAGACTCACGTATTATATGATGCAATTTTTGAAAACCAACTGTATCATATCATATCATATCATATCATATCATATCATATCATATCATATCATATCTCTCCTATATGTGAATGTGCCAGACTCACGTATTATATGATGCAATTTTTGAAAACAAACTGTATGTTCAAACATGTATTTCTTTGTTTAAAGGTAAATTTTGATTAGGAAATGCATTCATGTGGTTTGGGATTCAAAAAGTATTAAAATAAAAGTCTCCTTTTACTCTGTTATAGATCCTTCCAGAGTTTCTACATATGCAAACAAGATACACATGTAGTTGTATACAAATACAAGAGTATTGTTTACACATAGTTCTGTGTTTGGGTTTCATGGCAGTCAGGCCACATAGTATGTAGGTAGCTGTCTGGTCCCTCTTCAGGATTGTATGGTATTCCACGGTGCAACTGTACAATGCTGTTTAACCAGTCCCCTATTGCTGGACCCCTGGAAGGGTGTCCTGCCTTTTGCTAGTAGACACACGGTTTTGATGAATGTTTACTGTTTTCTGGAGCACTGTAATTGGAGGATAAATTCCAAGAAACGAGACACCCAGTCAAGGGTCTGTGCATTTGTCATTTTATCACACACTGCCAAGTCTCTCTCCATAGACTATGCAGTGCAGCCTCCTGGACCCTTCCACCTGCGGGGCCACTAAGCAGCCTAACTTAGTGCCTTTCTTCTCTTCTTTCTAGATGCGAGTCACCCCTCTGGCTACCCCTGCAGATTCTCACTCCAGGAAAAAGAGGCTGGAGTTGGATGATGACCTCGACTCTGAGTATCCCAGACGGAAACAAGCTCGAAGTGGGCTCCAGCCCAGGCTGACCCCCTGCCTGCTGCCCCTGAGCCCGCCCCCTGTTCAAGCCCCCACCCCTGGTGTGACCACTGCCTCCCGGCTCGGGCCCTATGTCCTCCTGGAGCCTGAGGAGGGCAGCCGGGCCTACCGGTCCCTGCACTGCCCCACAGGCACAGAGTACACTTGCAAGGTACGTTGCTCAGTGGTGACTTGACACTCATCTGGGGCCCCGGCGAGGGCCTGGGCTCAAGGGGATTGGCAGAAGCTATGGGGGGTTGTATTAATTTATTCCTGCATATATCGGGGAAGCAGCCAGTGAGCTCCGAATTCTGTCAGCCCTGGGGCTAGACTGAGACCAGAGAGGTTAACCTGATGGTCCTAGCCCTGGAGTAATTCACAGCTTAGGTAGAGGATGGGTCCTTGAGAACACAGAGAAGCTTCTAATGTATTGGGGCTGGGGGGCTGGAGGGCTGGGGGAAAGGTTGTTGGAAAGGTTGAGTAGGAGTCAGTCAGGAAGAGGGAGAGAAGGGAATTCAGGGAGGGGAGACAGCTGTGCAGAGGTCTAGAGGAGGGGGCGTGGCACTGCAGAGAATGAAGGGGCTTCTCTATGACCACTGGTTATGGAAGCATCAGGAAGTTTCAGCTGGGCTGTGGGGCGCCACTACAGGTATTAGTGCAAGGAGCCGTGGTTGACAGCAGAATGGGGAGGCTGGCGGCACTGTGGCCAGGGCAGGTGGCACAGGGCCCCGCCGCCACTTTTCCTGGGCTCTGGACTGCCTGATGTGGGTCCCCAGTGTTCTATTGCAGGTGCTTTATGGAACCCCTGAACAAAGGGGCCCCTTTCTGCAGCGTCACAGGTTCTGTGATCCCCCTGGGGAGGAGATCCATGCGGGGAGGAGCGAGCAGAGCAGGCTGGAATCAGCAGCACGTGTCCATGGACAGCCACGTGCAATGAATGATTCAGAAACATTTCGGGGCGCCTACTAGGGCGTGCTGTCTCACATCAGCTTGAACCATGGGGGCTGGCTTGCTAGCACTTTCACATCGCCTAGGATTTCTGGCCCCTGTGGAAAGATCAACAGTCTACCTTTGTAGATTAGCACCTTGTTCATCCGTACAGCAAACCTTCAGGGAGGGGAGTGCCAGGCACCAGGCACCGTGCTGTGGCTCAGAAACAAAGTTCTGCTCTCTTCTAGTTGCCATTGGGGGGGGGGGCAGGGACGGTTAGACAGCGGATAGTGAAACCTGTCGGGATTGTGAGTGTAAGGCTCAAAGGCTAGGGCTGGGAGAGGGCTGGGGGCTAAGGGGTGCAGGCGATGCTACCTGGGGAGCCCGGAGAGCTCCCTGGAGGGCTGACAACGAGCAGTGACTGCATGAGTGGGACGAGCCAGGCGGCAGGAAGGGCAAGTCCCCGGGAAAGGCATGTGCCTGCTCAGCAGTTTTTGGGTTCGTGCCTTCGGCCCACCCATGGAGGCCAGCACAGAACACTCCATGTTTTCCTCTCACTCACAAACCACAGCGAGTATTCCAGCTCTGCTGCTGCCTAGCTGTGTGGACCGCGGGGTCACTTTCCCGCTCTGAACAGGACTTCCCGTTCATGTTATGGTGAGGTTGCAGCCAGTGCTAAGGCCCCTCGCTCGCTCTGGACAACCTTGCAGCACCTCCCTTCCCCCCCCCCCCCACCCCCTGCCAACGGATGAGGATGAGCCGTGGCTGGGTTTCCCAGCAAGTTGTTTCTGGTACCAGGGCCTCGGTACTGCCCACACCTGGGAATCTTATTCTGGGTGTCTCTGAGTCATCTAGGTCGCTTCTCCACGAGTCCCTTCTGGACCACTTTCTTAAATTGCGCCTGCAATGCTCTGAAACAGTTTCTATGCCAGCATTTTTAAGTTCACTTGCAGCACTTACAGATTTGGGAGATACTTGGTTTCTTGGCCTGTTCACTGTCTTCTGTTTGTGCACCAGCGGACAGGGACCATGGTGATGGAGTTAAGATTCCACGGTGCCTGCCTGTGCAGTGATTGGCCACCATGACCATGCAACCAAGTTATTTCTGCACTCTCTGACTTCTGGGTTACTTGTTAACCGTCAGTTATCTGCAGCGTAATGCCTTGTAAGATGCAGTTAAAAGCAGTGATGATGAGGTGCCTGGGTTGGAACCTCCAGCTCGCCACTGGCTGGGGGGCAGCCTTGCGCGGGAGCCCCACGCCTAGGGGCTGCGCCCCTCCCCCGCTGTGCTGACGCTGTGCCCCGCCCACAGGTGTACCCCCTCTCTGAGGCCATGGCTGTCCTGGAGCCCTACTCCCGGCTGCCCTCCCACGGGCACGTGGCCCGGCCCACGGAGGTCCTGGCGGGCACCCAGCACCTCTACGCCTTCTTCCCGCGGCCGCATGGGGACATGCACAGTCTGGTGCGCCGGCGCCGCCGTCTGCCCGAGCCCGAGGCGGCCGCGCTCTTCCGCCAGATGGCCGCCACCCTGGCGCACTGTCACCAGCACGGCCTAGTCCTGCGAGATCTCAAGCTGCGGCGCTTTGTCTTCACCGACTGTGAGAGGTGAGTGTGGTCACAGAGGCACTCAGAGGTCGGTCACAATGGGGAAACTGAGGCTCGGGATGGCAAAGTGGAAAAGCCTGGACTAGCCCCACGGTGTGGTCTCCTGTTGCAAGCCCTGTGGAGCTGCCTTTGTGGTAGTCGTTGACAGCAGGCAGGTGAAGCGCTCACCGGCGCTGCCTGAGATGCCGTAGACCCTTACAAACAGGAGGCAGGCGCCACTGTCTCCCCAGGGCAGCTGAGAGACAGCCAGAGAGGGCAGCTGACAGCAGGGTCCCACAGCTACATAAATACGGAGCTGGGGTTTGCATCGAGGGAGGACTCCAGAGCCCAGGCCCTATTCCACTCTGCCTTGAGGAGCAGGGGCGGCCCAGCCACCTGCTGGCTGGGGAACCCCGACAGGACCTCAGATCCCTCCCTGGTAAGGGAGAGGTTGTCAGGGTGGTTCTAGAACCTCAGAGCCACTTGCAAAAGCCGGAACTGACCCTGAGTTTTCCTCCACAGGGAGTAAGTATTTCTGTGAAATTGAGAATCAGTGATTTTTGGAAAATTGGGGGACAGAGCAGGGCCCGGATTCTATCCCCTTCCCAGATGCCTGTGGGTAAGCAGGATGTGTGGGAGCACACCAAGCTGCCCGGTACACATGCATACCCCCGGGTGCATCGGTTTCATTTCCAGACTTGGGGGGTCTGTGCGAGTGGAGGGTAAACTCATTAAGGTTTTTAAACTTTTTTGAAATACTTTCAGATTTTCAGGAAAATCGCCCGGTTTGTCGAGTTCCCATAGCTCCCGAAGTGTTGACATTATGGCCCTTACCTGCTCAGGCTTGGCACATCCTCACTTCCTATTTCTCTCATTACCTATCTCAACCCCCCTCAGCCTCTCTCCCTGAGGGATGCTGGGAAATGTGCCCCTCTCAGAGTCTCAGGTCAAGTGTACTTGCTCTGTGACCTTCAGCCTCTCTGAGCCTGGACTTCCTCATTTGTAAAGGGGATCAGTCATTCAGCTTCACAGAACTGGCTTGTGAATGCCAAAGCCAGCTCAGGGGCTCAGGGAGTGGGTGCGATTAAGGGTAGTAGTGGGGTGATGGCATGGAGGTCCCCGTGGGAGCTAACGCCTGTGTCTCTCCTCTGGCTGCAGGACAAAGCTGGTGCTAGAGAACCTGGAGGATGCCTACGTCCTGACCGGGCCGGATGACTCCCTGTGGGACAAGCATGCGTGCCCAGCCTACGTGGGGCCCGAGATCCTCAGCTCACGGGCCTCCTACTCCGGCAGGGCTGCGGATGTCTGGAGCCTGGGCGTGGCACTCTTCACCATGCTGGCTGGACACTACCCCTTTCAGGACTCAGAGCCTGCCCTGCTCTTTGGCAAGATCCGCCGAGGGGCATTTGCCCTGCCTGAGGGCCTCTCGGCTCCTGCCCGCTGCCTGGTCCGCTGCCTTCTTCGACGGGAACCAGCGGAGCGGCTCACGGCCGTGGGCATCCTGCTGCACCCCTGGCTTCGTGAGAACCCGCTCCCCTCAGTCTCATCCCGATCCCATCTCTGGGAAGCTGATCAAGTGGTTCCTGATGGGCCGGGGCTGGGGGCGGCTGAGGAAGAGGAAGAAAGAGAAGTGGGTCTGTATGGCTAGGGCCACTTGATTAGACCCTCAGCTGCAAATAGTAGGTTGAGTTTGGGGTGTCTCTGAGCTTCCTCTTGCCTCTTTGAACAGAGCCGAACCTCAAGTGCCTTCTAGCAGGGGAGGTGGAGGGGGCGTGTGCAGCGTGGGTAGATGCACACGTGTGTCACCCCGCCCGCCTGTGTACATGGTGATGCATTCAACACTTGGGAGCTTGTGTGCCCAGCCCTGCTCCAGGTGCTGATCACACAGCAGTGAACAAGAGACAGAACTCCTGCCCCAGAGCTGACAAAGTCAGTGTCTCTTTGGAGAACCCTTGCGCTCGTCAGCACCTACTGGTGCTGGTGCCTGGGCGCCTCTGACATGGGACAGGTCCTTTCACAGACACCCAGCCACCTTCGTATCTTGCCCCCTTCTGGAGAATGGGAGCATCCTTGTGCCAAAGGCTCCAGGCTTCTGCCCTGCAACTTAGGGCCCAGAGCCAGGCTATGCTGGGGATTGCACTCTGCATCTCTGTCCTCTTGGTCAAGGGATTCTCTGTCCAGCCTGACCAAGGGTTTGAGCCCAAAGAATCAGGAGTGCAATCTCTGGGGCTGGTCCTCATCCAAGTCAAGGGATGACTGGAATGCCCAGTGGTCTCTGACCTGAGCACAGAATTAGGAGACAGGATTGTGCAGGGTCTGCCCCGTGGCCTCCTGGAATGTCCTAAGCCCTGTTCTGGGGAGGTTTGGGGCCCAAAATGCCATATCATGGGTTTTGATGCCACAAACATGTGTGTTTACTTTACCTAATAAAGGAGTGATACAAGACTGATATTTCTTCAATCCTCTCCTGTTTCCCTTGCCTCCAAAACCAGCCCCATGCTAAACCTCCGAAAACATGGTGATTCAATCTCAGCTGAGAGGTTTGTGAGAACAGAAGACCCAGCATATCTTCCCACACTCCCTCAAGTATCAGAAGCCCTGCGTCGAGGTGATTTAGAAGAGTATTTCCCGCAAAACAAGAAGTCAACTGGTGGTGTGGGCTTCAGCGCTGGTTGCTTGGCTTTCAGAGCTACTAGCAAGGCCCGTTCTGTCTGGCTGCTCTGTTGCCCCGGTGACTGCTGGCACAGTGGCTGCCACAGTCTGGGTGGTCACTTAGATCTGTGGCTAGAGGAAGCAGGGAGGCAGCCTTGTAGTAGGCGAGGGTGCAGCACTCTGAGTCAGCTGCCTGCTGTTCACACCTGGCCCCAGCACTCACTAGTGGTTTGACCCTCAGCAAGTTTCCTTCTTCTTCTTTTTTTTTTAATTGCTAAAGATGTATTTATTTTTGCATATAAGAACTGGGGTACAGGCCAGAGTTGTGAGGGGTGAGAGGATTCACCAGTGACAGAGTGGGGAGGGAGCAGGACAGACAGATTGACTGAAATACACTGCTGAGGGGAAGAGCTGGTGGGACAGCAGAGGTCTGCTGCGCCATGTGGGCCACCCCCCTGGCCTGGATTGAACTCATGTTGCAGTGGCTTGGATAGCTTCATAGTGCTGCACTTAAACCCTATGCCACCAGGGAGGCCCGTGGCAAGTTTCTTAATCAGTCTGTGCCTCAGATTTTTCCTCTGTAAAATGAGAGATAATAGTACCTAACCAATGAGACTTAAATGGGTTATTTTATGTTAAGCACTTCAAATACACAGTGCCGGACATAACAAGACCTCAGGAAGAGTTAGATGTTGGTGTTTTCCTTGAGATGGGGAAAGCTTTCCCAGAAGCACTCCCAGACATTTTCACACATCCCACTGGCCTCTGGTGGGTCACATGCTCTTTCCTGACCAACCAGCAAGGGAAACGCAATTACACCAATGGATCTGCTAATCCTGGATCTTTAGGTGGAAACAGCCTCCTTGAGGCTCATACTACCTGTCTGCGTGGGGGTGACACCCAAGTAAAATTAAATTCTGAGAGGGAGGAGATATTTGGAGAAAGCTGGATAAGGAAACAGGTGCCTTGGTCCACAACCTGCTAACTGCAGACAAGGAGGAGGTTGGCCTAGGTCACGGAGCCATCAGTCCGCATCCTGACGACCACAAACACAACAGTCAGGCAGGCCCAGGTGAAGAATCACCCAAATGAGACAGAATCATGAGATAAACAAAATTTTGTTTTAAGTTTTGGGATGTGGGCCCTCCCTGGTAGTGAAATGGGTTAAAGCACAACTCTGTGAAGCTAGCCACAGCCGCTGTGGTGTGAGAGCCATCGCTAGGCCAGGGAGGTGACCCACCTGGCACAGAAGACCTCTCCCCTCAGCAGTGTATTTCAGTAGATCTGTCTGTTCTGCTCCGCACTTGGCCTCTGTGAGTCCTCTCACTCACCACACCTCTGGCCTGTACCCCAGCTCTGTATGCATAAATAAATACATCTTAAAAACAGTTTTGGGGTGTTTTGTTACACAACCAAAGCCTTCAGTTCACTGAAGTCTTAGACAACATTGGAACTACAACTTCATGAAAGACTCTGCGCCAAAACCATCTTAGAAGACTCTCCTGAATTCTTAGCCCATAGAATCAGTGCGAGAGCAACATGTTTACTGTTGTCTTAAGCTACTAAGTTTTGGGGTAATTTGTTATATATCAGTAACCGATAACTGATGTAGATCCTCAAAGATGCCTTGTGAAGAAGGGACCATCAGGACCAGTGTTGTACAGAAAAGGAAACTGAGGGCCAGAGAGGGAAACTCTGGTGTCCAGGGTCACAGGGGTGGTGAGCTTTGGGACTGGACTGAGGTTTGAATGACTACATCTACCCTGACTACATCATCCACTGGGATGAAGGGAGTTCAAATGAATGTCAGGGCTAAGACCAGAAAACCTGGGAGAATATATCTGCCCCCAGTACCAATCTGTGCAGGTGACCTCAGGGCTGAAGGGATGTGAACATCGTGACCTGGAAGGTCATGGAGAAAACAAGGCTACAGGAATCAGCAACTCCCTCCTCTCCTGGGTGGCCCTGAACAGTACCAAGGCGGAGGTGACATGCAGAGTTCAGGGAGAAATGTAACCAGATTATAAAACAAATGCTTTCAGTGCGTCAGCAAATAACAAGGTTGAAGCTACTGCCAAAACACAGGATATTACATCCAGTGACATGACAGATTTGCAAACCTAACAACTAAAACGAAAAATCAACTACCAAAATAAAAAATTCAAAAGGTGGATTAAACAGCTTAGACAGAGCCAAAGACGCCTGACCAAGGGTAGGTCCCTGGGTCCTCCAGACCTGGAATCGAATTCCGCTGCTCGGCCTCAGGCAGGTCAAACCAAGGACGACTCGACCCCCGACTGCGGACAGGCCGGGCGGCGCCGGACAGCTGAGCGCCCCGCCCCGTTCTGTCCAGGCCCCGCCCCCGCCCGTGGCCCCGCCCACCCAACGCAGCCCAATCCCCGCTCTCGCCCCCGCCCCGCCCAAAGGCGTCCCAATCCCCGCCCTCCGCCCCGGCCCCGTCCCGCCCCGCCCCTCCAGCTGCGCGGCCCGGCGCGTGAGTGAGGGCTGGGGTGTCCGGGTCAGCGTGGGGAGCCGGGGTGGGCCGGCGCCTGGGGCCGCCGTGACCCTGAGCTGGGCGGGGTCGCTAAGGACGGCCTGGGCCTCTGCCGCGAGAGGGCGAGCCGGGTTGGGGGGAGCCCTGGATTGGACGACTATCTTCACCCCACTTCCGGGGGCGCCACTTTCACTTTCTCTTCCGCCAAAACGGCTCACCTAACCCTCCACGCACCGATCGGGGCCACACGAGGGCGGAGGGAATTGTGCCGAAATTCTAGACGTCCGGGGCCCTCCCAGCCGGGAAGAGTGGGGGCTCCCCTGTGTACTTCCAGCGCCCCGGCTGAGCGGCGTCCCCTTCCCCACATCTCTCTGACAAGTCACGTTTTCTCGGTCGCCTACTGCGGGCTTGCTGGGTGCCCTTTGCCCTGTGACCTCCCCTCGGTGTCCCCCAATCCCAGACCTCACCCCCTGCTCCCAGGTGGGGCGATGCTCCTCGACTGCCACCTTGGAGGCGCTGAGAGGGCTGGGGCCGCACTGGAGGTCACCGGCAGCGGCTGAACTGCTCGGGCCGTCCGCCCCTCCCCGGGGACCGGGAGGCAGCATTTCTCCGGAGTTGCAACCCCTGCCTGGGGGGGATGGGCGCAACCAGGCCTGATGGACGAGAAGACCAAGAAAGGTGGGCACAGCCTGCAGGTGACTGGGAAACTGCGTGTGGGAGGTGGGCCCCAAGAAGCGGCTTTGCCTACCCGGAAGGGTCTGGGAGAAGGGGTTTTCACTCTGCCCACCTTCCGCCCGCCTGCCCTTCAGTTTCTTTCCTTGGGGCCTGGTTGCTCCAGGGGTATTTTGTCATTCATTGATTTGACTTCCTCAAGGCCTCCCCAGACCGGCTCTGGGCTGAGATGGGTGAGAGGCATCCAGGCTGATAGAGGAGACAGACCTCAATTCCTTCTCCTCCTGCTCCCTTCACCCAGCTTTGTAGTACATAAGTGAGGCTGTGTCACCATGCTGCAGGGCTCTCCTTTGCTCCTGTGTCCTTAGAACCGAGCCCCGAGTCTTTGGGGAATGGCAGGGCCCTGCTGGCTATGAGTCTTGACCTGTCCAGCTTCTCCTTCAGGCCTCAGCTTCAGGGTCACATCCTCCTGCAGACCTTCCCTCATCTCCTTACTCTGTTCCCTTGCCAGCGTGGGTCACATCTGAATTATTTTTCTGTCTTGTTAGCTTTGTTGTCTCCTCACTTGACTGGAGAGGTCAACGAGAAGAACCCTGTTTATCTTAGTCACTGCTACATCCCAGTTGCTAGGAGCTCAATAATGTATATCAGATAAATAATTCGAAGTATGAGGGAAAAATCGAACCAGAGGAGGTATGAGTAGCAGGGTCATGTCAGAGAACACCTCCTAGAGAAAGGGGCTTTTAGGCTGGGTGCTGAAGGATATGTAGGAGTTCACACAGAAGATAGAAAGAAAGCAGCATGTACAAAGGACCACTTCTTCCTACAACTCACCCTAACTCCTGAGCGATAAGCCCTGCACTAACCTGCTTCCACTGGATTTCAGCCGAGGAGATGGCCCTGAGACTCGCCCGAGCAGTGGCAGGCGGGGATGAACAGGTGGCTAGGGAGTGTGCCATCTGGCTGGCAGAGCAACGGGTGCCTCTGACTGTGCAGCTGAAGCCCGAGGTCTACCCCACACAGGACATCAGGTGAGGAACGCACGGCTGGCCAGGAACGGAGGACTTCCAGTCCCGCCATGGGCCAACATTCTTGCTTATAATAGAATAATTGTTCTCAATGATAGATGCTGATGTCAGGAGACCAAGCTCTGTCATTCGTCAACTGAAGTCAAAGGCAGGACACTTCACCTCCCAGAGTTTCAGCTTTCTTCATTTTAAAATGGGATATAACAGTAGCTTTTTGATAAGGTTGTCTGTTTTGTGATTATTATCTTTTTTTTTTATTTTTTTATTTTATTTTTTTTTTAAAGATTTATTTATTTGTGCATACAGAACTGGGGTATAGGCCAGAGGCTCAGGGATGGTGAGAGGCTTCACCAGAGACAGAGTGGGGAACAGAACAGGCAGATTGATGAAGTACACTGCTGAGGGGAGCAGCGGGCGGGTCAGGAGAGGTCTGCCACGCCATGTGGTCACCTCCGGGGCAGGCGGGAATCGAACTCATGCGGAAGTGGCTTTTTAGATTCTCAGTGCTGTGCTTTAACCCGCTGCGCCACCAGGGAGGGCCAATTATTATCTCTTTTAATGAATTTTCTGATTATGTTATCCCTACCTGGGCCTTCCTGGTGGCCTGGAGGTTGGTTAAGTCTCAGTGCTATCACCACACTGGCCTGAGTTCGAGCACCCAGCCAAGGGAGCAGACCCACATAGGGCACAGCAGACCTCTCCTGACCCACCCGCTGCTCCCCTCAGCAGTGTTTCCGTGGATCCACCTGTTCTGTTCCCCACTCTGGTGAATCCTCTCATCCCCCCATACTTCTGGCCTAGACCCCTGCTCTTCTACAAAATAAATACTTAAATCAATAAATTATCACTACCGATCCAAATGGCATTGGATACCAGGGCTCTGGCTTTGTTTCTGGTTATTGATAGTAGGCTGGAGTTTTCAGATACTTATTTTCTGCCTATAAATAACACTGCTGTGCTTTGCCTCTCGATAACGTCTAAAGTTGCAAACTCACTAAATCTGTGCCCATTGTATTTTGATTATGGAAGTACTATTCACGGTGAAAGAAGCACTGCTGTTGAAACTATTCACTTTTAGGTTTCAAAATCCTCTGGCTTGAAGAAGAATGTTCTGAAGTTTTATGTTCTAGAACTTACTTTACTTTTTGTTGTTGTTTTCTTCCATTCTGCACAAGACCCAGCTATCCTTGTTTCTTATATTTAAAAAACTTTCCTAATGCAATGTTATTTTAATTGAAAAAGAAAACCTATCATGAGAAAAAGGGGATGGCAAACTTTGGAGTCTTTACATGTCTAAAAATGTCAAAATTTGCCCTTTCCTTTCATCAATTTGGGTAGGTGTTGAAAAATCACTCTGCTGGGGTATTTTAAGACAGAGCTCAGATATCCTTTTATTCATAAATATTTTGATAATTGTCTTTGAAAAATAACCTCAACACAGTGATATCACCAAAAAAAATCAATAATCCTTAACTCCCCCAATAGCTTTACACATAAATTTCCTGATTATCTAATTCCTGCTTTTTCATAATTTGTTCCAATCAGGAGCCAAACGAGAACTGCACATAGCATTCCTTAATCTCGTCTAAGTCTCTTTTATTCTCCTCTCAGTTTTTTTTTTTCCCCATATAAGAACTGGGGTGCAGGCCAAAGATGCAGGGGATGAGAGGATTCCCCAGGAACAGAGTAGACAGATCCACTGAAATACACTGCTGAGGGGAGCGGAGGGCGGGACAGGAGAGGTCTGCTGCACCATGTGGGTCACCTCCCTGGCCAGGAATCGAACTCATGCTGCAGTGGTTGGTGATAGCTTGATAGCTCTGAGACTTTAATCCCTGTGCCACCAGGGAGGTCCCTATCTCCCTCTCCATTTTTATGCCTTTGTTTTTTTTAAGAAACCTGGTTTTTAACCTTCAGAGTTTTTTCCATTCTCAATTTATAAGTTGCCTCATCAGGGTATAGTTCAAAATCTCCAATTTTTCTGATGAATTGCAGTTGTAGCAAAAGTTTAAGCTAGTCAGTAGCTACTCTTAAATTTCTGGAAACTCATCCTCACGTTCCACCCGCCTCCCAGTCTTGCTTCCTGCCCATGTCTCCCTGGGCCCCTGGTGGATACTCAGGCTTTACTGGGGTTATTGTTCCGCTCCTAACTTATCTCTGTTATCCTTTGGGATCGATTCCCTTTTTTTCACCACAGCCCTTCTTTTTCATTCCTTTGGTCTCCCAGAAATGTTTGTAGATCCTGGAGAGCTTTCTCTGGAGTCTACTGTTTGGGCTTAAATTCCATCTGACAGTTCTTAATTGCACCCTTGGAGTCACGTAACCTCTGTAACAACAGTACCTGCCTGGATATGTGGAGAAGATTAAGTTAGCTAACACGGGCTAAGTGCTTGGGTCAGTCCTGGCCTGTAGTAACTGATACCTTGGCGTTCGGGCCAAGGTGCCAAGGAGGGAATGAGAGAAGCAGCTGCAGCGGGGGAACACGGAGCCAGACCACAAGCCCTTGGGGGCCACCAGGAGTTTGGGTTTGGTTCCAGAAGCAGCGTGGTGCCATCGGAAGGTCCGAAGCAGTGCATTTTGATAAAGCAGGATGCTCAGGAATGTGGGGATCCAGGAGAGGCCCCTAACCCAACACGGGGTCATGTGTGTGCATGCTTGTGCTACATGCGCAGGTGTGCAAACGTGTACGTGCCCTCGGTGGGGGCTTTGCCAGGATGGTGGCCAGAGCCCTCTCCCTTTCCTGCAGGCTGTGGGTGAGCGTGGAGGATTCGCAGATGCACACCGTCACCATCTGGCTCACCGTGCGCCCGGACATGACGGTGGCTTCCCTCAAGGACATGGTGAGTGGAGAGCTTCCCGCGGCTCGCGGCTCTCTACTCCAGGCCTCCCTTCCCACTGTCCCTCTCTCCATGCCTCTGCCAGGTATTCCTGGATTACGGCTTCCCACCAAGCCTGCAGCAGTGGGTGATTGGGCAGCGCCTGGCCAGGGACCAGGAGACCCTGCACTCCCACGGGATACAGCGGAATGGGGACAGCGCATACCTGTATCTGCTGTCCGCCCGCAACACCTCACTCAACCCTCAGGAGCTGCAGCGGGAGCGGCAGCTGCGGATGCTGGAAGGTAAGGCCTGCCCCTGGCCACCAGGGGCTCTGGGCCCTGGACCCAGCTGAGGTCTAGGCGAGAGGGGCAGGGCGCAGGGGCCTCCAGTCAGGCAGAGGGAAGAGAGGACGGCAGACCCGGAGCGCTCTCTGGGAGCCCCTTAAGAACGGCTGGCCTGGGGCCGAGGGGGGGTCAGTCCTGGCGCTGGCTTAATCAGTTGTGGGACTCTCGCTAAGTCCCTTCCTATCCCTGTTCCTGTGTCTTCCAAGTCTGTAAATTGGATATGATGATACTAATAGCTAGTGTTTAGTCTAAGTTTTGTTCTTATTATGAGATAAGGTTGCAAAACGACAGGTTCCCATGTCCCCTTCTCTAGAAAGCCCAAAGTCCTAAATAACTTTTCACCACTTTGTTTTGCTGTTTAACTCTTTCTGTGTGAAGTTATTCCTAAAAATAGCTCACCTACCTGTACTTAACATGTCCATTTATATGCATGGAAATACTTTTTCTCTGAACTGTTTTAAGGGTAAGCTGTGAACCCCGTCCCATAAATACTTGTGCGTATCTGCTTTCAAAAACAAGGGGTCATTTTCTTAGTCACCACATGTAACGGTCGCATGTGGACAGGTAACACAGACAGCTCTGCCGTCTGGCCTATGGTCTTACCCACCTTTCGCCAGCTGTCCCGCTGTCCACTGCAGCAGAGGCCTGGCCGCGGCCGCCGAGCACACACCTGCTGTCCCCACGCCCGGAAGTCTGTCCTGCGGAGACAGGGAGTTTACTCTGAACTCAGTGCCTAGAATAGTGCCTGACCCTTGGCAGATGATTAATAAGCAGGAGCCTAACGGGAGGGTCATTCACACAACGCTTCCAGGCGTGGCTGTGGCTCCGGCTTTGCTCCCTCTTTGTATCTTTGGTTTCGTCTCAGCTTTTCCTTGACTTTCTGGAATTTGAAGCGTCCGGGCCAGTCTCTCATTGATCTGATGGCTCCTTGTCTGAGAGTTCAGATTCAGTGTTTTGGCAGGGACACCTCGAAGTGTGTCCCTCTGGGGTATCCCTTCAGGCTATAGGAATGCACTTGCAGGCGGGGCTTTTTCAAGCCCAGAGAGCAGAGGAGCAGAGTGTGTTCTGGAGCGGAGCCTGGCTCCGGAAGCCAGCACACTCACCCATCTGAAGACAGCTCCCAGGAGCTGAGGCCGAAAAGGGGGCTAGTGCAGGGGTTCCTGGCTCAGGCTGCGGTGGGAGTGGGCCTCGTGGATCCATCACCCCCTTCACCCTCCTCTGCAGATCTGGGCTTCAAGGACCTCACGCTGCAGCCACGAGGTCTCCTGGAGACTGGTCCTCCAAAGCCCGGGGTCCCCCAGGAGCCAGGGTGGGGGCAGCCAGACGCTGCACCCGAGCCCCCTCCGGTAAGCCACCGCAGCATGCCCCGACCCTTCACGCCCCGAGTCCCTGCTCACCACGCCTCTGCCCCCAGGTGGGCTGGCAGTGCCCCGGGTGCACCTTCATCAACAAGCCCACGCGGCCGGGCTGCGAGATGTGCTGCCGGGCCCGGCCCGAGGCCTACCAGGTGCCGGCCTCATACCAGCCCGATGAGGAGGAGCGAGCTCGCCTGGCCGGCGAGGAGGAGGCGCTGCGCCAGTACCAGCAGGTGGGCATCGGAGACCCTGAGCAGCAACTGCACCCTGGCAGGGGGGCTGGGCCAGGAGGGGAGCCCTTCACTGCCTCTCCCCGCCACTGCTGCTTTGCCCCCTGTGACCACGACACTGCAGTGACCGTACTTGACTGTGACCACTCCTCTCAAGAGGCCCTACTCCCTGGCTGGGGCCACAGGCCGCACCCCAAGTGCTGTGACTCTGCCCCTCACCTTCACACACCCCTTTGTGCACACCAGTCTCCCGAGCTGTGACTTGACTTCAGCTGGCCACCCCCCGTCTGCCTGTGACCTAGCTCCGGCACTGCCTGGCCGTGACCTCACCGGGAACCCCACCCCCCTCTGGCTATGGTCCATCCTGACTTCCTGTGACACGGGGCACCCGTCATGCCCTCCTGCTCTCTGGGAGGCTGCCCCTGCCCCTGCCTGCCCCTTGCACTAGCTACAGACACCTGATCCCGAGTGTTGCCCTGATGTGACTGACGCCCCCCCGGCCCTGGGAACCAGAGCTGCCCTTACCGTCCCTCCCCCAGCCAGGGCCCGGCCGCAGCTGCCCCCCGGAGCTAGTATCACCAGCCGCCCCACACCCCTGCGCCTGCTCTGCCCTGCCCTGATGCCAGCCCTGCCCTGCTCATGTGGGCCTCCCCCACTCAGGGTCTGGCCCCCTCTTTTCCTCTCGCCATGGGCCCCTGGCCTCGCTGGCCCTCAGCTGCAGCCCCACCCCTGCCCGACTGCCTGGCCGCTTCCTGCCCGGCCTTCCCCGCTTCCCCAGGTCTTCTGCTCCTGCCGCTGCCCAGCTGCCCCTCCACACCCCAGAACCACACCTGGGATCCCGACTCTCCTGGTGTGGCCCGTCCTGGTCTGACTGGGTCCGGCGGCCCTTTCCCTTTCTGGTCCCTGAGACCCTGACCACCCCGTGGCCCCGTCCCCGTCTGCCCAGCGGAAGCAGCAGCAGCAGGAGGGGAACTACCTGCAGCATGTCCGGCTGGACCAGAGGAGCCTGGTGCTGAACACTGAGCCCGCCGAGTGCCCCGTGTGCTACTCGGTGCTGGGGCCCGGCGAGGCGGTGGTGCTGCGTGAGTGTCTGCACACCTTCTGCAGGTGCGGCCCCCACCCCACCCGGCCACGCAGCCTATCACAGCGGCCCGGTCCCAGGGCTGAGAGTGGGTGGGGCCTGTGCTCTTTGGACCCCTACAAAACCTGCGAGGTAGGCGCCTTCTCCCTGTATAGTTTTCTTTTGGGAGGCACAGAGTGGCCTAGCAACTGCTCAGTGCCACACAGCTCAGGATCCCGCTCCAAGCCTATACCTTAGCCGCTCCCTCCAGACTCAGCGAGGGCCTGAGGCCTCCCCCAGCAGCCCGCCAGCCCTGCCCTCTGCCTCGGTGGAGGACAGTGCTCCCTCTTTGAGGCTGTCCAGGTGAGCCCCCCATGAGCCCAGCAGCACTTGCTGGGCTGCCCTGGGTGCCAGGGGCTGGACAGGCCTGGGCACTAGGGAGCAAACAGCTCAGTGTCCCTCAGAGGTTCCACCCCGGCATGGAGGCCAATGCTGATGAAATAATCCTGACTCGTGCTAGAATCATAAATTGTGTCAAATGCCACATGCCAGTGGGTCACGATCAGAGCTACGGGGGCCCTGCCGCAGGGTCGGGGTGCTCGGAGGGAGGCAGCACTCGAGCAGAGACCAGGGGCCCGGGTTGGGTGTGTGCCTGGCCAGTCCCATATGAGCAGGGGCTCAGGGAGCAGAGGGCCGGACAGAGTCAGGCGGGAATGAGTCACCGGGGCACCTGCAGCGAGAGTTCGGGGAGGCCGCTGGGGAGGGCTGTGATGAGAGCAGACCGGGGGAGGCAAGATGGCTGCCAGGAGCCCAGGAGGAGGCTCTGGCAGTTCTCCAGGCAAGGCTGACGGGGACCTGGGCACGAGCAGTGGACATGATGGATGACAAGAAGGAAGGGGGCTATTAAGAAGCCTCTAGAGTCAGACCTTGCCAGGTGAGGCGTGGAGTCCGGGGATGGGGTTCAGATGAACTAACCTCCCCCTCTCCCCCAGGGAGTGTCTGCAGGGCACCATCCGCAACAGCCAGGAGGCAGAGGTCTCCTGCCCTTTCATTGACACCAACTACTCATGCTCTAGCAAGCTGCTGGAGAGAGAGATCCGAGCGGTAAGGCCCGGGAGGGGGCATCGGCCCGGAGACCTGGGCTGGCAGGTGGGAGGCTTTTACCCTGTGCAGGGTGTGGGGACCCACGCTGTGAGCAGGACAGGAATGAGGGGCAGAATGGTTAAGACGGCCTGGCTGACCTCAGGTCCGGTTCTCAGCCTCTGTTCCTCAGCCTTCTCATCTGGGTTAGTTAGGGTCACTTAGAGTTCATTTCTATTTCCAGGGCTTCAAAGACGATAGCCGCAGAGAAGTATGGAAATTTCGAGTGATGTTGGACTCAGGGCGGGCCCTGGCAGCAGTCTGCTCTGTGACAAACCATTCCCAGTTAGTGGCTTAAAACAGCCACTGTTTATTTATAGCTTGTGAATCTGCTAATTAGTCACTTGAGTGGGCCTAGCTGGCTGATATCTCTGGTCCAGCCTGGGCCTGGCTTAGCTGGTCGACCAGCTGCCTTGAACTGGTTTATGGTGCGATAGCTGGGATCACTGGGGCCTCTTCCCTGGCCTCTCCTCGGCCAGCAGGCTGACCACTTCCTGCTCACGTGGCGCCCCAACACCCTCTGTGGATTTCTTAGGCTTTAATGGTCTCAGGGAGCCAGGTACACCAGCACATCAGGCAGGGACACTGGCGTGCACAGAGCAGGCACAGATGGGCAGGGGTGCCGGGAGCTAGGCGGGCCACGGAGCCTCCCAGCCCCCAGGAATCTTGATGCTCCCCCGGGCTCTCGGTTGTCCTCTCGCTCGTCATCACACCGTCCCTCTCTGTTCTCACACTGCTGCCGCTGCTTCTCAACCGCCTCTAGGCCCAGGTGTGCCCACTTACGCACGCCCACGCCCACGGCCATGCTCAGGCCCCGCACCACTCCCAAGGCCTTCTGCATAAACACCATCAAGGCGGCAGAGGCCAGTGGCTGAAAAGCCCGATTATTCCCTTACCACACTGGAGCAGCCGCAGGGAGCCTGGGGCTACGGTGCTTTGCCCGTCTCTGCGCAGGTATTCTCTTGGCCGTCCCACTGGCCAGAGTAGGGCCAGGGGACGGGGCTGCAGTAGGGCCTCGGTGTCCTCACGGCGCTGGCCGTAACGATCACGCCGGTGCCGCTGTGACCTGGCGCCCCACTGACTGCGCGTGACCTCAAGGCCTCTCCCTCCTCTGCCTTCACGGCTGGACTTGTTCTTGGTTTTTAAACTGTAGGTGAATGCTCTTTACCGTAGAGGTGACAGTGCTGAGACTTAACCCCTCAGCCACCAGGGAGGCTCCAGCTCCCTCCTTTTTAATGGGGTTTGTAAACACTGAGTGTGATTGGTTGGAAGTCACGGGCTGGAGGCACGTGAGCCCGGGGGCGGCCCAGGGTGAGTTCGTGGCCTGTCTGCAGCTCCTCCCCCCTGAGGATTACCAGCGGTTCCTGGACCTGGGCATCTCCATTGCTGAAAACCGCAGTGCCTTCAGCTACCACTGCAAGACCCCAGACTGCAAGGGCTGGTGCTTCTTTGAGGATGACGTCAACGAGTTCCTCTGCCCCGTGTGTTCCCACATTAACTGCCTGCTCTGCAAGGTGGGGCCCGCCGCCCTGGCACCCTGGCCCCGCCAGCGCGCTGGGGACAGGGCTGAAGTCCCGGCCTGATGGTCCTGATGCACCTGCCCTGACCCTAGCCTGGGACCCAGCCCTGGCCTCTGCCTATACCCCAGCCCTTACCTCACACTGAGTGTCAGCCTGTCCTGGACTGAGCCCGGGCCCCTACCTCAGCCGACCTCAGAGACTGGCTCCGTGAGCAGACGGGCCCCAGTGTGGTGGCTGCCCCAGCCAGCTCAGTCAGCTCCTTGGGCTCAGCCACAGGTGTGCCCACAGCCCAGGAGAGGCGGTCCAGGGGGTTCTGTGCACGTGTTGTTATTATCACTTAGGATGAGCTGAGCTCGCCCCTCGCCCCTGGTCCTCTCCTATAAAGTGGGTGTCTGGCTTACACCCCGAGCGCCTCTCAGCCGCAGTATCTACAGCCACTAAGAGCTTGCTTGTGCGGGTTCCTGCTCCACTCTCCCGTTTTCTCACCCCGCTGTAGGCCATCCATGAAAAGATGAACTGTAAGGAGTACCAGGACGACCTGGCCCTGCGGGCCCAGAATGATGTGGCTGCCCGGCAGACGACGGAGATGCTGAGGGTGAGGCTGCTTTGGGGCTTTGGGCTTCAGCTTCAGCTTTGGAGGCTCCTTGGAAAGGAGCGATGCACACATCTTTGGAGATTCCGACTCCCATCCTGTCACTGCCATCTAGACTTGGAACTCAGGACAAGTGGTTGGGTGGGGGGTGAGCAGCAGGGAGAGCATCTCCGTGGAGCGGGGAAACTAGAACCTAAGGCTAGGAGGCTGGGTGGAGCCTGACTGGGGCGGAGACGTTTAGGGGGTGACTCGCCTCTCCCGAGGTGGACAGTTTCCATCTTCAGTGCAGAAGAGGCCAGGGGAGGGGCTAGCTGGACAGCTGCCCCCACCTGGCCCGGGGGTCAGCACCTGCTCTGCTCCAGTCCATGCTGCAGCAGGGCGAGGCCATGCACTGCCCGCAGTGCCAGATCGTGGTGCAGAAGAAGGACGGCTGTGACTGGATCCGCTGCACTGTCTGCCACACGGAGATCTGCTGGGTCACCAAGGGGCCCCGCTGGGGCCCAGGGGTGAGTCTCCAGAGCAGAGGGTGGGGGAGGGGTGCGGGGCGGGCACTCTGGGTCTTGCCCAAGAAGAGGGACTGGAAATCTATAGCCCACAGAACAAATGCAACCCACCACCTATATTTGCACAACTCGAGAAGTAAAAGCAGTCTACATCTCTAAATGACCGAAGACCAAAAGAATGTTTCCCATGTTAAGACATGTCCAAAATCCAGATCGCACTGGCCATAGGTAAAGAGTTTCAGAAGCGTGCCAGCCTCATCCACTGGCTCTCAGTGGCAGCTTTTGCACTACAAAGGCAGACTGTGTGGTCTGCAGAGGCTGCGGCCCCCGGCCCTGGAGGGGGGTCTGCTGGCACACCCACTGCCGCGTGATGGGACTGTGGCCCCCTTTCTTCATCTACAGGAGAAAATGGGGATGGTAGCGGGGCCTATCTCAGGCTGGTTGTCAGAATCAAGTGGGAAAAATGCTAGCGGGGTGCTCAGAGGGGACCTGGCGCCTGGCGAGTGCTCTGCGCGTGGTGGCTGACGTTATCCGGATCTGGGCCTGGGGCTGCGGGTTCCGTGAGGGCGGATGCTGCGGCACCAGGCGGCAAGGGAGCTGCCCTCGTGTGCCCTGGTGTGCGGACCGACCCGGGACGCGCACATGTTCACCCTGCCCTGAGTCTACGTGTGGGAAGACATTGTGTAGTCAGGGGTGCTTTGAGCAAAGCCCTCACGACCGCTGTCAGGTCTCTGAGGCTCGGACGCTGTTCTTAGCAGCACCATCAAGCCAAGTCCATCTCGGAGCATGCGCCGCCTTGGGGGCACTGTCTGCAGTGCGCTGACCTCCTCTTCCCTCCGTCCCCATCCTCTAGGGTCCAGGAGACACCAGTGGGGGCTGCCGCTGCCGGGTGAACGGGATTCCCTGCCACCCCAGCTGTCAGAACTGCCACTGAGCTGATAGACGGCCCAGGTGACACAGCCCCACCTCCGCAAGCTGCTGTGGACGGGGCTGACTTCTGGCCTGCGGGCTGACTTCTGGCCTGCGGGCTGACTTCTGGCCTGCGAGTTGCCGTTGTGGTTGGCCAAGACGGGCCCCGTGAGGCCGAGCCCCTGCGCGGCACGGGATGGGCGCCCTGCACCCGCTGCTGTTCCAGTGCCTTGGCCCTTCCCCTGGGACCTCCAGTCAGGCTTCTCATCTCTTCTCTGCGGCTCCCGCCTCTGCGTGACTCAGCCTGACATTCAGCCTGGGCCACAGGTCTTGCTGGATGGGACCAGAGGGCCCCGAGTGAGTCCACACCCCCGCCCGCCGCTGCCTGCTGAGCGCTGAGTACTCACAGCCTGCCACTCCATCAGTTTTCTGGGGGTGACTCTTCCGTCCTTTGCTCTCGGAGGCCTGGCCTCTTAGAATTGCTGCTAATTCTGTTCCGAGCCAGAGGGAGAAACCTGGTAGTTTTTAAAGCACAGCCCATGAGGTCCAGCTTCTGTGTTTCCTTCTTTGCTGCCAGAGTAAGGTAATTAAATGGTTTTCCAGGAAGGGATGTGTGTGGTGTCTGAGAGGGAATGTGAGGGGCACAGGGAGGACTACACATAGGCAGGACCCCACACTCTGGGGGCTGTGGTGCGAAGTGGGCAGATTAGCCACGTTCAGTGGTGGGGAAAGGGTGTGACGGAGCACCATGGATCCTTGGGCCAAATTTGCACCCATGTCCAACCTGAGGAGCAGGGTGCTCTGCTCTGGTTGATACTATCTGGCACAGGAGGAGTTTGCAGTGTTGAGACCCTTCTGCTCAGCGTGGGTTAAGCGGGAAGAGGCCTAGGCAGCAGCTGAGGCTGGCAGGAGAGCCTGGCTCCCTTCTGGCCTGTAAGTGCGCATGTAGGGCCGGTGGGCAGAATACTTCAGGAAGGGGGAAGCTGCTGCAGTTGAGCGGTGAGGTTGTCTACCCAACTTTAACATCTCAGGCAAGATGCACAGCCCAGCATTATTAGTCCTCGATCTGCTGGTCAGATTAACAAACCGTGATTTTGGGTGTCCGCTCGTCTGTTCTGTAAGCTTCCACTACATTCTCTGACGTCCCCCCTTCTACGGTTGAGATCTGGTATTTGACAGTCAACATATTGAATGGTGATGAGAAGCATCAGGCCTGAGTGCCATATCCAGCGGTCGGCACATGTGACCTGCGCTTGTATTAGCCCCCGGGAAAGCACTGCCACCCTTGAGGCCAAGATTTGGAACAGCTGACTGCAGAGAGATCACAGGCGAGCGCCCTACTCTGTCAGCTCTGGCTCATGGCAGCTGTCCACTGTCACAGCCGATGGAGGGCACCTGCAGGTGGCCTCTGCAGCCTTGGGAGTGAGGAGGTCCCGAACCACTGATCAGAGAGCAATAGCTGAGGAGAGCTGGCTGCAAGAGTGAGGGTGTAGAAACGTGAATTGGCTGTCAACATTTTAAAATGGAGAGGTGCTACAATAAAAACCCAGATGCCCAGCTTCTCTTAGATAGTGGAGGCTTGGTGATTCTGGGCCATTTCCACATGGCACGGGTGGAGGCGTCCATGCTGGCCGTCTCTGCCATCCTCACCGCACCACTGCTTATGGTCCTCAGTGCCTGGCATTGTCCTTTCCCAGTACGTACTAATGGAGCGCCCCTTCTCCCTGCTGTGTGGACGGCGAGGCCGGAGCAGGTGGAGGGTGTCTGGTGGCATCACTCAACCCGCCTCACCTGCAGCAACACGGCAGAGCGTGTCACAGCAGCGGCACGGGATGCAGGACCGCCCTGGCTTCTAGGTGCTTAACACGCCAGCGAAAGGTCTCAACGGGCAAGTGCTTCCTGCTAAGGGACAAGGAGAGAGCTCCCCGCCCCAAGGGTCACCCTATGCCCAGACTCCAGGCTTGAGAACCCAGTACCAACGCCAGGGAAAACTCAAAACAAAACCCCCATGGCCTTGAGTTCAAACAGAAGGAGTGTTGAGCTGGGCTACAGCAGGACGATAACCTCCAAAGGACAGCGGCCCGTAGAGGGCAGGCCACTGTCAGGCGCTCACCCACGTGCACCACTGCAGGGCCACTCAGGCCCAGGAAATACCAGGTTTGCTTAAGAAATGGTTTCTAAGGCCACAGTGGCAGCTGTCTCACCTTTGCGTGCAGTGTCCAAAACTAAAGAAAAGGTCACTGGTTCAGGATGGTGCTGTCCCGCCAACAAAGGCCTGCTGCTTGTCGACTACTGGACTCTTCTTCAGGGGCCAGGAAGAGCCTTTCTTGGGAGCAGAGCGAGTCAAGCCGGCCCCTGAACTGCCTTCTAGCCTCCTTCAGGGTGTCCCAGCAGGTCTGATTGAGTCATATCCATCAGGTCATAGTTTGCACGTGCTTGGCCCCACGGGTCTCTACTGCCTGCAGCTGCGGGTAGCCACTGAACAGAGCTGGCCCAGTGGCCCTGCGCACCTCCCTGCAGCCCTGAACTGGGTGCTGGGCTAGCCGGTGCCTTCTGGCGGAGCTTGCTCTGGAATAAGGCAGCTGTACCTGCTGCATGCCTGAGGCAGCGTGGTAGATGAACCACTGCCACTCTTCCTGCAGCCTGAGTCCCAGTGGGGCCTTTGGTGGCAGGCAGGAAAATGCCATTGCCCGCTGCCACTTCCACTGTCCACAAGCAGTTTCAACTGCCAGGTGCAGTAGAGCCAGTCTCGCCCCACAGCTTGTGCTAAGGGGCCCGAGTTTCAAACCCACTTACCCGAGGAAGCAGCAGTGGCTGCAAATGTGTTCTGTGCCACAACCTTCTCTCCGAAGCAGGGAGAGCAGGGCAAGGTGGTGGAAGCCCCCGCTTGAAGAGAAGCTGCTGGCAGTGAGGGCAGAAGTGGAGGATGGGCCGGCCCGCAGCCGTGCCAGAGCTGACATGTGTTTCCCTCTAGAGCTTGAGCCTGGCACAAAAAAGCACTTAAAAAGCAGGGAGCTGGAGGCAAACCCATAACCCTGTCTGCTCACGGAGATGGCTGGGCAAACTCCAACCATACGTAAATCTGGAGAAAAGACTATTAGTGAGTGAAAGGGCTTCTGTGAGGACCGAGGAAAGGCAGCAAGAAGTGCCAGCAGAAAACAGATGGCATAGAGGGCAGGACAGATGTAGGCCCCATCACCTCTTCGCTGGATCTGGCAAAGCCTCTGGTGTACTCTTCCTTTCAGCCTTGATAGCTGAAGGCAATTCCAGATGTGTGTGAAAAAGTTGAGGTCACAGACTAAGAAGCCACACCACTCTGGCCGGTGACCAGCGCTCTCAGACAGCAGCTGGAAGGTGCAGCTCATAATTCTGCAGATAAAGCAGAAGTGGGACTGCAAGAATTGCTCAAGCTCTCCAGGCAAATCAAGGCCAGCCAGGAGCCCAGCCGACAGACAGTCCCAGGCCAGGGTGGAGAGGTGGGGATGGGGCTGGGCCAGATGTCGTAGAGCAGAGTTCACACCAGCAAGTGGAGGACGAGGACAGAAGAGATTAGCAACCACATATGGCTGTTTATTTGATACAGGGCTTTGTACAAAATATTTACACATATTCTTCACAGAATAGTAAACCACCTGAAAGTAAAAAGGTAATGCTTTTTTTCTCACTAGCAGAGAATTCTGATGTCAGCAAGGCTGTGAAACAAATGAATTTTCTCCTTAGGCCACAACAGAAGCAAATGCAACTTCCTTCCTGGGATCTAAAAAGCTGCGGCTCTAGGGCCCTCCTCACACACAGCCTTCCCCTCTCCCATCAGTCCCTTCAGGGCTCACAGACAGGTCGGGTGCCTGTGACAGGAGGGCCAGTGCCACTGTCCATTTGTACAGATGACAAGAGGACAAACTGGCTGCGGGAGAAGACCAGGAAAAGCTGTCATAACACCACCTCTGCATCCGGGGAGAATTTCCTTTGTCTAACGAACCCACCACTTTCTAGATGAATCTATCACATGGTACTCACCCCAGGTGGCACTCCTGCTATGGAGAATGACCCATTATTTGGAGCTCTTTTTGGTTTTAAAGTGCTTAGTGTAACTTGGCATAGAGATCTCTCCTAGCCACTCTGGGCTAGCTGCCTGGCAGGCGAAATACCCTCCACTCTGCATACAGCGGGCGCGTGGGGAGCACAGAGAGGTCTGGGCGTGGTGGGGGAGTGCTCCTGGCACATTCACCTTAAGAAACTCATCTGCCAAGAGAGCACAGCGCCCGAGAGAGACTGGGAAAGTAAAAGTACATGGCTGCTTCATACCACACACCCCAATTCTTTAAAGCAGCAAAAGGCACTTTTTTTTCAAGCCAGAGTTAATCTAAAACAAACCTGGCTCTGCTTACAGGAAAAGCTGTCCCAGAAGGACTGAATGATCCATGTTGTCGCCCAAGGCCTGCAGGGTCCTCGGGAAGCGTGGGACAGCGGGGCTGGCTGTTCCAGGCTTCTACCACGCACTTCAGGCTGCAGTTTGTCCCATCCTGGGTGCTGACAAGTTCCCATGACATTTCCAACTAGGAAGGAGAGACTAGCAGTTAAGAAATCAATCAAGCCCCCCAAAACAAAGCTGAGAGAGTGAAGGGGTACCTACACAGGAGCAGAGGGATGAGGTGAAGAACAGTAAGGAAGGAGAGCTGGACGACGGTGGGCGCCTGGGAGTGTAGGGCTGTCTACAGATAGCAACTCTGGTCCTGTGAAACGTGAAATAATTGAATAGAAAGAAAACTTCAGGCGATCAGAAGCTCATCCTTCTATGAGAACTATTATTTTTCCAAGAAGGAACTATTATTTACTATTTATATGTTGGGTATATGTTACTCTAAAAACTAGCAATAAAAATGTCTTTTATAAGCAACACTGTGCGGCTTGTGGAAAAGAAGAGGGGACAAAAATAAATAAAATAAGCAGGCAAAACTAGTCTATGACTGGGCCCTAAAAACTAACACTCCTTCCTGCTTGCCTGGAAATGCCCAGGGACTTCTCGGCTGACCAGGGAGGATTTACCCAGTAACCTCGTTTACATTTGCCACTTTGATTTCTGACCAGCGAGTACAGCTGCTCTTGAGAGAGGCTAGTCTTGTTCCCAGGCTAACATCCTTTGCCCTTTTGCTTTCTTTTCAAGGTCTGACTTCTTTAGCATCAGCTCTCCCCTTCGCTGTCCAGCTGAAGCAGACAGAACACGAGGAGCTGAGAGGTGGGCACTCACTGGTCCAGCTTATTTAGTGCTGGGCAGTCAAGAGGTTCCCCAGTTACCAGGCCCAGTGGGCACCAAAGGCTTCTGGGAGCTACTTCCTCCAACACAAGAGTTGATACGGGAGAGCCCACTGTCAGGGAGGAAGAAGTTATATGCCCACACCCCCAAGTGCCTACTGTCAGGCAGGTTCCGCTACTGGCCTTTGAAGCAAAGGCAAACCATAGCCCGACAGGGAAGGGTGGTAGGAATAGAAAACCTTTGACAAACCCTTTTAATAAAGGAAATTCTACCCCTCCCAATCCTCGCATGGAAGGGTGAGACCTCAATGCAATGTAAGAGGAAGTGTCGTCTCTGGCATTTAGGGAAACAGCTGTAGCTGGAACTTTGGGGCCCACTCCAGAGCACTTTTCACCACAGCCAGAGCAGCCGCTCCCAGTGCCACTGTCAGCCCCATCACTGCCAGCTTCACAAAGCGGTTGGTCCTTGGTTTAGTCAGGACATCTTTTGTTCGATCCTCCGGTCGCAGAAGTCCCTGGAACCGCTGCCGCAGCACCATATCAGGCCTCTGCTGGGCTGATGCCAGCTCAAAGTCTTTGAAGGTAGACGCAGCTGTTCTGCAGAGGGGGAGGAGACAGAAAGAAGGAAATGGTATGAAAGAAGGAACTAGATTAAAGAGGCTAAGGGCAGTTATTCACTACTCAGTTAGCATTTCTTGACAAAGACCCCTAAAGGCTAAAGTGGGGATTCCCTCCCCTTCGCCAGCAGACCACAATCTGCCATACGACTGCTCACTGACATCTCCCACTCAACCAGGGCCTTGGCCTCACTCACTTCTTGGCTTCCTGCTGGGCAGCTGCCTCCCGGGCGAGTTCAGAGGGGGGAAACTGAACAAAGAGGTCTCCTGCTCTACTGATGAGTGTCTCATAGGGCAGGTCCTGAGGAATCTGGGACAACAGGTGGTGGACCGAGGCCATGTCACAGTCACAATCCAGGACTTCTTGCTCTCGATACAACACGATCTGTGGAGCAGAGTCATACGTCAGAGACCAGAACATACAGGCCTTCGCCATTGGCATTTCATTCTCCCTACTGATGAATTCAAACTGGTAATGGACAGGCAAATACTCGGTCAACTTTTAGCTACCTAGGAATAATAATGTAGAGCACCATTAACTGAAGAGCTTGTCCTTTCCCCATTGCATGGTAGAGTATAACTGAGTGTTTTCCCTAATGGGCTGCTACAGGCAAAGTGAAAGGCTGACCAACTAAATGAAGGAGATTCTTCTAGGAGGAAAAGGCATGGGATTATGGGAGACTCTGGAAGCTTCAGCACTGAATAAATGGTTCAAAATAGTAGAAAGAAGGGTCGTGCTCCCTCTAAGGAGTATTTTAAAGATTCAGACCGAAGAAGTAAACAAATCTATTTGACCTGCTGAACTGGCATTTCCCAGCTCATTTTACAGTTTTCCCCGACACTCCCAGCACACAGTGGAGAACCAGGTCCTGAGGCACCGGTCTGGGAAATGCTGCCTTTCCCGCCTTTCCCCAGGCGGCAGGCTTCTCTTTAAGGAAAAATGATCAGGTTGGAACAGGTGATGGTGAAGCTAGTTATGAGCGCATGGCCGGTACCTACCACAGCTGCAAAGTAAATGGGCATCAGCGGGTGGCAGGCCAGGAAGAAGTCGTATAACCGCACAACGTGCCTGAAGTCAGACAGGACGTGCCCAAACCAAGTGATGAGCCAGCTGAGGGCAAAGATGGTCCCCACTTCAGCACTAGAAGCAAGGAAATCCAGATGTTAGGTTCCTGCTGAGTCAGCCCTTCCGCGGCTGCCTTTGTCCTCAGTGTTGTGGTAAGGAAACATTTGGGAATTGTTCCGTGGAAAATGAAGCCACCTCCTCTTCACAGTTGCAGCATTTTCTCTTCACAAAATACAAACTCCTTAAGCTGTAGCCACCACATGACACTAAGACCCCGATAGGATCCTGGCTGCCTCATCTTGCTAGTGGCCAGCAAATGTCAATTACAACTGTCTTCGAGAACTACACCAGGCTTTTCCACCTGAGAAGTCATATGCTTTTCAGGAGTACAGGCACATATTCTCAGGCTTGAAAACATAACTATTAATTTTTCATTTTTAACATGACACATAACTGAAATACATTAAGACAATGCCATTGTTTAAAAACAAAAATGAGGCATTGACCAAGGATACATTTCCAACTAAGCAGAGGAGAAAAAAAAAATCATGAGATTCTCAAAAAAATACAGCTCCTAAATGCAGATGGCCAACAGGCATATGAAAAAATGTTCAACATCACTCATAATAAGGGAGATGCAAATTAAAACCACAGTGAGATACCACCTCACCCCAGTGAGAATGGCACATCTTCAAACAACTAGCAACAACAAATGTTGGCGAGGATGTGGAGAAAAAGGAACTCTCCTGCACTGCTGGTGGGAATGCAAACTAGTACAACCACTATGGAAAACTGTTTGGAGGTTCCTCAAACTGCTAAACATGGAGCTTCCCTACGACCCAGCAATCCCACTCCTAGGTATATATCCAAAAGACACAAAAACACTGATTCAAAAAGATACCTGCACCCCCATGTTTATTGCTTCTTTATTTACAATTGGAAAAACCTGGAAGCAGCCCAAATGCCCAAAAGTAGATGACTGGATTAGAAAGATGTGGTACATATATACAATGGAATATTACTCAGCAACCAAAAAAGAGAAACACATGTCTTTTGCAGCAACTTGGATGGAGCTGGAAAAGATCATGCTTAGTGAGATAAGCCAGAAAGAGAAAGAAAAATACCGGATGGTGTCACTCATAGCAGGAGTATAATGGACCAGGCGAGAAAATAACAAAAATAATGAACAACCATAGACCAGAGACATTCTGTGGGGGTGGAGTGGGGAATGGGATCAAAAATGGGGGGTGGGGAGGGAAATGCACGGGATTATGGTGATGGCACACGGGTGACTTGGTGATGGGAAACCCACGGGGATTACAATTGAGATGGAAAAAAAAATGTACAAAATGATGTAAAAATAAACTTTTGTAAAATAAAAATAAAAATACTGCTCCTATTAAATCTTATTAAACCTTCCATAGACGGCTTTGTCTTCCTTGCTTCTGGTTTCTACCTCTGTTTACTTCTCTTTTGACAATAGCCTCCATCTATTTAGGTATACAGGCATAAGTACCTGGTCTACCTTCTCCACTAGCTGCAAATACCTTAGGGCATGGGCTGTGACATTTCCTGTGTTCCCCAAAAGAGCACAGGACTGACAAAGTGCTCTAAGACTGTGGACAGAACTGAATTACCCAGATTTCTGGTCATGGGAGAGGACAACCCTGAGGAACTTAACACTAACACCATAAGATGAAGGAGAAATTGAGCTAAATTTATGAGGAAGAAATAAAGGCTAGAAGAAAGCTGAAGGGGTGTGTGTGCACACGCATAAATGTGACACGTATGTACCTCTGCATGAAGTCATGGAGTTCTGGATTCACCTGGTCAATGATGGGCATCATATAGTTTAATATATGCCTGGTGTTGTCCATTGTTGGATCCATGAAATCCCTAGAGAGAGACAGCAAGGTCAGACCTAACACTCAGACCAGGGGTGGGAGAGTGCAATGAGGCTCAAATTTAAAAAAAAATGACTAGAAAATGGCAGAGGAGTTAACCCTGAGGAACTTGCAGAATGACACCCATACTCTCTTGCTCTTCTGCACTGGTACCTTAGATGGTGGGTAGATAATTTTTCTACCAGGGATGTTGCCAGCCTCTCGCCTACTACCAGCAGAAACGTCACCACGATGTCATGGTAACCCTGGTAGTAGTGCAGCTGAGGGTTGCGCTCCAAGATGAGGAGGATGATATCGATCAGTTCTTCTTGGAGTCCTTCCCTCTCTTCTTCTGGCATGCCTGGGAAGGGAGCAAGGGAAGGTAATGGGTAGATGCACCTGCACAGGGCAAGCAGCTAGCAACACAGGTTAGGAAGAGTCAGCAATGGATCTTTAATAAAAGAAAATTAGTTGCCAACAATTTTGGAAACAGTATCAAGATCCAGCAGCAATGACAGCACCCAGCACCTGCGTGTGGGAAAGAGCCACAGACTAGCAATCTCACAGGGAGGGCCCAGATGCCACCTCCCCCAGGTCATCCCCCTTCCCATTGCTAGTAGTGTGGCCATTTGATAGAAGGTGCCTCCAGCTGGGAAGTACTTAAAAGAACTGAGCATCATGTCTGCGGAATTCCAATCAAGAGCGCATAAATCTGAATCTAATAATAAGAAAATACCACACAGAACCAAATTGACAGAAATTTTGGAAAGTAAATGGCTAATAATAATGTATAAAGGAACTATTCCACCTTAATGGAAGCTAAAGATGTATTACTTAATGGAAAATATGTAAATCTGTATTTCCTTTCCTTATAAAGGGCATTACTAGGATAAATCTGAATAAAAGCTGTAGATAACAGTCTTTTTTAATTTTGGTATTGATTTGGTAAGTGTACTTATAATTATGTAAGACCAGTGCTCTTAGGAAATACATTCTGAAATATTTAGGGACAAATGAGTGGCATGTCTGTCACTTATTCTTAAATAGTCAGTAAAAAACTGTGTGTGTATGGAAGAAAGAAAAACAGTAATAAAGTAAAAATAACAAAATGTTAACATATAAAGAAATCTGAAGTAAAATGTATCTGGGGAGTTCTTTGTCCTATTTTGTAACTCTTCTGTAGGTATAAAATTATACAAATATAAAATTTAACAGTTGCATGTTCCTTTCTAAAGCAAACTAAGTACCACAGGAAATACTTATCTTCTTGATCCAAAGACACAGCTGGTAGCAAGCCACTCTGCTCCTAGCTCTTTCTGAGTATGTGGCTAGTCCTAGGTGTGGTCAGTGTGGTTTTTTGGCTCATCTGGTTTTTAGTATAAAAAGACCAAACAGTGGGCCCTCCCTGGTGTCACAGCGGGTTAAAGCACTGCACTAAGAAGCTTAAGCCACTTCCACATGAGTTCGATCCCCACCTGCCCCGGAGGAGATCCACATGGCGAGGCAGACCTCTCCTGACCCGCCCGCTGAGACCTCTCCTGACCCGCCCGCTGCTCCCCTCAGCAGTGTACTTCCTCAATCTGCCTGTTCTGCTCCCCACTCTGTTCTTGGTGAATCCTTTCACCCTCCGCATCTCTGGCCTGTATCCCAGTTCTGTATGAATAAATAAATAAATTAAAAAGAAAAAAAAAAGGCCAATCACTGGCCTTGTGAATAGCTTTAGAATGGCACAAGGCGTAGCTTATAAAGCTATACTTACCCACCAGTTTTCAAAAAGGTACATTAAAAAAAAAAGTGGCATACTCTAAAAGATATAAAAGAAAATGGAGTAAAACAAGAATTATGAATAGGTAGTGAATAAGAAAGAAAAAATTATACTGTTTAAATCTTTAGTATAAAAGTGGTCAGCTAAGCTCAGAGGCACTTGAATATAAAAAGAATACAAAACTACATGGAAAATTCAGCCTGCAGAGAGAATATAACGGATTAAGGTCACAAAAATGGAAGAGAAAGGAAGGGTTCAAGAGGAAGCAGGCTGTCTAAGGAAAAAACTTGGAGGCAACTGTCTTGTGATGTCCACTCCAGCAGGAACGGGAAAGGGGCTGAACCATGGGCTAATGTTTTTATCAAAACCAAAAGCCGGCAGGCCACTGGTTACACAGGAATCACATGAGCCTCTCCAGAGATCAAAGGTACAAATAGGAAAGCCAAAATCCAAGCCAGAGCAATGGTTTCAGAAGAGTGAAGCAATAAGTTTGAGGCTCTTGTTTCCGTTAGCAATTTTCCTCGCTTCATGGACCTAATGGCAGAGTTGTCAAAGGAAGAGAAAATGGAGAAACAGTTGTCAATCTCATTCTTCCTGGGAACAGAGAGGTAATTTTGGGAATAGACTCTAAACATACAGAAAATGGCCTCTTTTCCAGTCCAAAATCCCTATGTATGTATAAGACACCCCTATTTATAAATCTAGTCAAATGAAGATATTAACAGTTCTTGTTCGTACCCACTTCTAAACCAACCTTCTCTCTAAAGCAGACTGGTGACTCTAGCAATTTCTGTGACATCATTTCTATAGTTCTGAAGTGAGGGAGAAAACCTTTCCTCTTATACATCATCTCTAGGTCAAGAGAAATCTGGCCCAGGTTTTCCCGGAGGAGACCTGAACATGACTGAGGCAATGAGAGGCTGACTCAGCAGACTGGTGTATAAGAGCCCTGAGGCGGCAGGGTCCTGTAGGTGTGCTGGGTCGTTCACTTCCTGGGACTAGCAAGCACCAACACAAGAAAGTAAGTGCAACTGGGACAGAAACCCTCATATGGCAAGACCAGGAGAGCTTCTCACCAGGAGGGAACCGCCGTAAAGACCGCCTGACGTCCAGTAGCACTTGTTGGTAGTCCTTGCTCATCTGCCGCAGATTCTTTCCTATCGGAGGAAAGGGAACATGTTACTGCGAGAATGTCTGGGAAGCCAGACCTGAACAAAATCCTCTGGTGTGACACCAAGGGCCTGGAGGACATCCTTCAGCTTTTTCTGGAAGAGGACAAGTTACAACATTTGGAGAGGAATCTTTAGTTTAGTTCTAAACATGCTATTTTCTGCAAGTCATGATGACCATAAAGGAGGAACACAGATTGTCTGGGAGGTTAAGAGTGAGGCGGAAAGAGCAACAGAGAAGCCAGGAGGGCAGGGGCCTAGTGGAGGCAGCCACTGTGTGCTGCTGGGGAATGCTAGGAATTTCAAGGCCCACGTTTATAAAATCCCATATATACCTCCCAGGTTACTGTGGAGATCATGAATCCGGAAACCAGAGACCACTGGAAGAACTCTAACATCTATGAAGTTAAGGGAATACCCAGCTGTTCACAGAGAAACAATAAGATAAACTCACCTAGAGAAGAACCTAACCTCTGCTGACCCTGAAATTCTATAACTAAAGCACTGCAAATAAGAGATAGTATTTGTGCTCAGCTGGTAAGCCCAAACAGTATGAAAGAAAGGAGGAAGATGCTAGCTGTGTAACAGGGTACACTTCTCTCAACCTAAAGCAAGTGTTACATAACAAGTAAACTTCTTTGCAACAGAAATCAAAAAGTAATAGAGGAACCTGTGCAATACTTGCCCAAAGACAGATTTTATCTTATTAAAACGTGGGAAATTTGGATCTGACAGAGGAACACGATTTCCAGATTTCAAGTGTGAAGATCGCACTGCCCATTCCCTCCAATAAAAAGTGAACTGCCCCGAGGGAATCGGTGCCAAAGATGACAGCGAGTGGCAGCTCCCCACCTACTTGGTTGCACCGCGACACTGAAAAAGTTTTCTTGGTAGGGGCTGGTTAGTCATCTCCAGCACCTAACACACAGTAAGAGCCCAGCTAGCATCTGCCAAATGGATGAAAGAATTCCTGCACCTGGACTTTTGTCATATGTAGTAAAAAAGCAACAAATGTCTGTTGAGCCAGTACTTTCTTTTGTGTTTTGTACTGTATTCCAAGGAACTTTTTTTTTTTAATTTCACGGGCCTTGCACAACAGTTAGTTAATAGCTTCTCACAGAATTTTAGAATTTCATAGAACATTAGTGTTCAAAAGATTCTTAGTATTTTTTAATAAAAAGATGGTTTTATTTAAGGACCAAAAGTTGTAATCTCTCCCTATAACATAATGTTTTACAAACATAATGGTGCAGACAAGCCACACCAGTCTTAGATGGGGTGCTTGTTACCACACAGACACTATGGCCTGTCTCTAGGTGAGCGTAGATAGCAACATGCACCTTTAATAAACTCCCTTACTTGCTAGGCTTTATTTTCAGAGTGGGTCCAAACATACCCCAAAATGCTTCAGATTCACTCATCCACTCTTTTACTGAAATGAGCATAAACAGCAAAGATTCTGGAAATCTTTTTTTCTTGTCTCCTGAACAAGCATCCCTCATAGTACACATGCCCCTTACCTGATAGAAGTGGTGGGTCATTAGGGTTGACATTGAGGAGCTTGGGCCATACTTTTTGCCTTATCTCATCCGTCAGGAGCCCTCCTTCACTGATAGCCATGCGTCGGAGGGCAGCCACATCTGTGGGATCACTGTTCAGAGCCTGGTTTATATCTGCTACTTTCTTTTTTCTTTTGGCATTAAAGTCTGCAAAACAAGGGGAAAAGAGGCAGTAGGCACATATTCAGTATCTGTACATTTTCTGTTCAGGGTTTGATATTCTTATTTAACTTGAGGTACAGGTAGATATTTTTAAAATCAATCTACAGATATTTAATTAGTAGATAAAATATAAACCAGTAAGAAGCTGATAAGCACTGAGCAATGAATTGCAGTTCTAGTAAATACTCAAGTGAACTCAGGCATACCTAAGTTATTATTAACCAAATGGTTTCATTAATACCAAAGTTTATTAAAGCATTCATATCTCCTAGTAATATTTTCCTGTTGTTTACAGAGGAAAATGTGTATGTCACCAAAATTCAGTATTATAGTTTTTAAACAAAACAACATGTGGGAAAGGTCTCCAGTTAATGCTAAAATAACTGGTAAAATGGTAGAATCAGCCCTTCCAGGTGGCTCAATGGGTTACAGCACATCACTATGAAGTGATCACAGCCACTGCAGTATGAGTTCAATCCCCAGCCCCGGGAGGTGACCACAAGGCATGGCAGAACTCTCCTGACCTGTCCACTGCTCCCCTCAGCAGTGTACGTCATCCATCTGCCTGTCTGCTCCCCACTCTCTCTCTGGTGAATCCTCTCATCCCCTGTACCTTTGACCTGTACCCCAATTCTGCCTGTCTGCCCCCCACTCTGTCTCTGGTGAATCCTCTCATCCCCTGCACCTCTGACCTGTACCCCAATTCTGTAGGCATAAATGAATTAATCTTTTTTTAAAATGGCAGAACCACAGCTATTTTCAGAAGCAGAATGCCAAAGGTAAACCTGCACTTCTAGTGTGGCTGGCAGTAACACAAAGCAACCGTTACTTAACAGTTAATTAATAACTGGTGATCAGGAAGTAGTATTTTAAAATCTTATATCCTTATGTGATAGCTGCTATTCATATACTGGCCTTTTGTTGTGTTCAAATTACTTTTTAGGAAACTGGCTGAGAATCTGTGACTGATTTGCATCACATAATTTTCAATTTAGATTACTGGGGCAATAAATAGGTTCTTAGGCAGAATGTAACTTTAGGAATGGCAAACATAAGAAAAGTTAAGACAACAAAGAAATGTTACAAAGCAGCATGCAATAACTGCCCAGAAAAGGTATGTGCAGACAAGAAGAGCTAAGAGACTGCTGAGACAACATCACCGAAGAGTGCAATTTTAAAGGAAGTTTGGGAAAGCTTTTGAGAGGCAGGAGGGAGGCGCAAAGACAAAGTTTGGTGACAAGAAACAAGGCCCTTTCGCTTAACAGTAAACAGACTCATTCAAAAACAATTATGTAGCATGTAAAATGGAAGATAGCACTGGAAGGTAGGTTAGATTGTACAGAGGACTAAAGCATAAGTCAGCTTTAGAAGGGACTAATATCAGAAAGCAGATTAGGTCTTAAAGTGGGACACTAAAAGGCTACTTCAGTAACATTATATTCTGAAACAACCACCTTCAAACTGTTTCCATGACAAGCAGCACATTATTAGCATACATGAAAGCTGGCATCTGCCTACATACCTATGACAGCTGTGAAATATAAGCTATATAAGGAAAGGTACTAGTTTGGAGTCACATGCGATTGGAGAACAGACAGGAAAATAACTTAGAGTGACTTTAAACCCAGGTAAACCTGTTCTCCTGGCTAGACTATTATCTCCTCTGGTAACCTAGTAGGGTGACCATTTGTTCCAGTTTGTCTGAGAGATTCTTGGTTTACAACTATAGCCCTGACATATTGTTCCAAACAAACCCCTTCTATGTTCTGCACTCTTAAAAATTAATTTTGTCTGTATTCAATGGTCATACTACCTAAAATGATGAAAGTCAGGTCTAATTCCTTCTGTCAGCATAGTACATAACAAATCAAACGTTTGTTCACAAGGTGCTTCAAGCTCTTGGTGTATAAAGGTGTGGATGTGTCATTTTATTTACCCACCCACCCACCTACTATTATTCCATTCATTTATCAGTCTATTATTTAATAAGCATCTGTTAGTACTAAGCACTGTACTGGGGATAAAAAGATGAATATGACTTCCTCCTAGTCCTTGAGTTCATAGCAGGAAAAAGAAAAGACTTTAATACAACACAGGCCAAGACAAATACGGGCAGAATTTGAATTAATTTCCAAGGAAGAAAAACATCTATCGGAAATTTTATATTTTTAAAGTTGGTATGTTCTTGCACTTTCTCTGGTGAATCCTCTTACCGCCCCTGCACCCCTGGCCTGTACCCAGTTCTGTATGCATAAATAAATAAATCTTTTAAAAAATTGCCTACTGTAACTTGTGAACGCCACAAATTAAAAACACTTAGATAGTTGATACTACTGCTTGCAGTAAGCTGATATTTAGAGATTTTGGTAACCTGTTTGCTAAGACTAGAAAAGTTTCCTCAATTGTTTAGATATAGATCAACCCATGCCTCTCTTCCCAAGTTATTCAGCAACCTAGGAGAAAGGAAAACTGTTGCTTGTGTTTTGAAGAAAATAACAGTTTGAAATCAGCTGGCTTTCCATTAGGTCTTAGCAAACAATACATCAGAATTTTAACTAATTCTGAACCAAACCACAGCTTCAATACTTCTTTTAACACTGTTGTTATTCTATTTTTTAATCCTGCATTTCAAAGTTACTATCTTCTTTTTGCTGGCACTCTGGGAACTCAATAAATGCACACAGAAAAGAACTAATTATTTAGCTATTGCTCTCTGAAAAATTTGACCTATAGTAAATGACATTATCTTTCTCATACCACTGGTTGAACAAATATGCTCTAAATATTGCGAATGCTAAATAGATTTGAAGACTCTTTGACCTTTTTCTAAAGCTAATGGAGCTTCCCAGAATCGAATGCTGCTCATATGTGGATTTTGGTGACTGCACATTCAGGTACCAGTATCACCTTCCTCAGTTCCCCATTCTGGTGATCAAATGTTAATCAAAGATGAGGCCTAACATGCCCACGTGTGCCACTCTCACTGCCCAAATGTCTTATTGCATCTAGTAGATAAGCTCTTATTGTGACATAAAATGGGAGAAGACAGAAAACTAGATATATAAATTACAGTGATAAAGGTCAACTACTAGCAGTTCTATCAACTAACCAACCAATCTGTGCACATCCTCTTCATCTCAGGAAGAGGAAAAGAATACTATTCTTGAGATGCTCTGAAGATTAAAATTAATGTCTACTCTATTTTTTCTAAAGATAAATTGCACATATGAATGGGCTACACATTTCTGAACTTGAGAATGCTTGTATTTGGGCTCAGGATAAAATCTCGCATTTTATCTGAAGGCACTATATATGAAATTCAAATCCTCCTGAATCCATTCTTCTTCAGTTCCTTTACTATACCACTCATAAGAGAGATGTATTATATATTCCAGAGCTGGTATCTTCCAAGTTTTTTTCTAATAGCAAAGGCCTTGGCTATCAAAACCAAGACAGAATGAAATGACCATCCTAGAGCTGGCTGCAAAATGACACTGCTATAAATAAATTTCTAATGCCTGAAAAGTAATTCATTCAACAAAGGAAAAAGAAATGATACAGGCACTGCATGGCAAGGTCTCCATTAAAACCATTTAAATAAGGGAAACTGAAGTAGTTCTTACAAACAGATAAAGATGGCTGAACCCATTACTGTTCTCAAACCTCTCCCAACTTTGGCTGCAGAACCAAGTAAAGATTCCTGCCCCTTCAGAGCAACAGGTACTTCCTAAAGCACCTGGCTTGGAGAAAGAATAAAGACTACATAAAGAGCACAAGGTAAGCTCCCTCTAAAAGTTGTACCATGTCAGCAAAATACCTAATAGTGGCTTACATCAGGTTAATGATCTAATGGAATCTTACATGAGAGTATAAAATCCTATACTGATTATTTGATTTAAGCTTTATAGTCTTTAACAGAAGTCAAATACAAACCAAGCAATGGTAGCCTTAAACAAAACAAGAGAAAAGAATGTCAGAGACAGAAAGATTCCCTCAGGTGCTCCTCTATCCCACCTCTTAAATTCCTATGTTGACAATGAAAATTAACAAATTGAACTTGAACTTTATATCTTGTCAAAGAATGACAGTAGGTAAGGAAAAACTTATTTTATTTTGACCTTATGGCTCCCACTAAAAACAAAAAGAAAACAAAGTAACCTCTATTTTCAGAGGTCCAGACTCCCAATTAGTGCTAACAAACAGTACCCAAATTAGCAGATTCATTAACTACCTGGAACATAAAGGCAAGCACCCCAACAATAGCCAGCCATTCTAGAGAGCAAACCAATTTGATCAGGAGCTCTGCAAAGGAGGGCTTCACGTTAATTTGCCAACAATTCTCCAATGTGATTAAAAACAACATGCAAAAAATTTTTTTAAAAAAGGAGAACCCTCCCCGGAAAACTCCTTCCATTCACCCAAAGAAGCAAAATCAAGGAAACTGAGGGAAAAGTCTAGAAACCCAGGCACAGCTGCATTGCAACAGGTCACAAGACTATACTTCTTGGGGCACTGACTACTATGCCAAGAGGACAGATGTCATACAAATGTCACCAAAGGGTTACAGAGTCAAAGGGCCTGTGTTACTTAATATATGAGGCACGAGCACCAACCACTTCCACCCAGGGTTAGGAAAGGAGAAAAGGGGGTACCAAAGTGAATCCACAGAAATATGATGTGGCACCACCAGGTGCTTCATCGAAATATGGGGGTTACCTGAATATGCATTTAACTCTATTATAGGTACCACCTAGGAGAGGATGGAAACGTGGGAAAGCTACCTTAGTCTTCCCAAAGGGCAGAAAAAGATTATTTTACTTGTACAGAGTAAATATTCACAATTTTAGCTGTGTATTAATTGTATGTAAAATATATTCCAAAACATGCACAGGGAATCACAATTTTACAGAAATTAGTGCTAAATAGTATAAAAACGGTAAGAATGGGTATTTACGGCCCTCCCTGGTGGCGCAGCGGCTTAAAGCGCAGCACTGAGAAGCTAAAAGCCACTTCCGCATGAGTTCGATCCCCGCCTGCCCCGGAGGTGACCACATGGTGTGGCAGACCTC